GTCCTCATGATAAGGTTCCTGAGCTCGCCAACAAAGCTTTATTAGACTAGTTATCATCTTTAGAATAAAGTTTTGAGTTGATACAAAGCTTTATTAGACTAGTTATCATCTTTAGAATAAAGTTTTGAGTTGATATAATTACGCAGAGAACTGATGTTTTAAAGATGTTGTTCATATAATACAGCATGCTTATCTCTTATAAGTATCATGTACTTAACACATTTTGTGATTGATTTGAATATTATGTAATTCTCAAGATCTTTTCTGCGAAATTTTTTAACTAAAGTTTAAGTTTATTTAATTACACGGGGGAGTGATGTTTTGTATGATATTGTTCATATAATGTAGCATATGCATCTTTTGTAAGTGCATCATGTGCATAACAAATTTTCTGGATTGATTTGAATCTTTACTTAGTTCTCAAGGATATTTTTCTGTGATATTGCTGTACTCATTGCTTGAAACTGCTCCTTGCGCCGTTTGAATCTATTGGATGATAACAGGAAAAGTTTTGAGGTATAAGTTCAGTCACTAAACCGCCCAACAAAATCCGGGTCGGTTTTTTTTAGGCGGTTCAGGGGTTCAAACCGGATCCAAACCGATTTAATTTGGTTCGGGCAGTTTAGAGACTTCTTCCCATCCATTTAATTCGGTTCGGTTAACCGAATTTTTTCAGTTGAACCGGTTTTTTTCGGTTTTTGCTTATGTCAATGTTATTTTATGTAGATAGAGAGGATCAACCTTAGCTTCCTATTCAAAGTTATGTCTAAGGTTTTGATCTTGGTTTTACAATGAATGTAGGACCTTCATAGTTGGTAGCGTAGGAAACATAACATACAACGCGGTGAAAATTTCATATTATGTAGATTAATTAAAATCTAGAAAAATACTTAAAACGCTTTCCGAATACATTCGATAATCTGTCCCAAGATCAATACAAAATAGCTTTCTCAAAAAAAACCCTCCAATTAAACTCCACTCGTCACCGAAAAGGAACAATACTGAGATATAGGTTCTCAAAATCAATTTATTTATATCTTTTTTTTATAAAGCTACATATGAATCCTATATATAGGATTGGAGATGCCTTATAGATTTCAATTTCGAAACAATTCTTAATTGTTTAAAACTCTATCCATAACATTTAAAGATAAAATATTATTACCATAACAATTAGGATAGAAATATAATTGTATTGCAAGTAAACATCTTCTAATGACATTAGTGAGACCAATTAGGTCCTATATCGAGAACCAATTATTAATCAAATTAATAATTTTAATTTAACAATCAAATCCCTATCCGATCAACTGTTTATAAAAGCTCTTTCATAATATGGGATTAAATATTTATGAATAATATTATTTTACATTCAGTGTCCTCCGGTATCAATTTATTTTAGGTAACTTTATTGAGCAAGACAAATCACATATTTACTCATTCCTAAAATTACAATCCCATGAGCATAAGTAAAAAATCATTTTGAAACTTAAAATATTTTATTTTATAAAAAAATAAATTTTAAAAAATAATTTTAAAAACCACCCGCCGACGGGAATTTAATATCTTCATAAGATATGCATAATAAATTTAATTCATAAAAATAAGTATACTGGATCCTATCTAGATATCCATCATTTCCCTAAACGAAACCTAATAATCCAACATTTCATGTTATATAGCACTTGTCAAACAAGCTTAACCATCATATCAAATTATACTAAATTATCAAATAAAAAATGATAGTATCATCAAGTCTAAGGGCCCACGCAACAAATAGAATTCTCCATCTCTTAGGTGTCTAGTCCTAGAGAATCCAAATAAGATATTGTGCTACACATCAAATATGCGCTTATCACATACACCCGAGGAATCTTCATTCCCGGTAGCTGAGATCAACCATCACATCTCACATGTCGTTATCATGCATAATAACATGTTACAACAAAACTATCATTTACTAGTTATAAGTTAAGCACAAATTTAAGAAAATCTCCAAACAAGTGACCATCACAGTGCATGATCTAACAAAATAATTTCTAAATTAATATAACAATTATATAAAAGATACCCAAACAATATGTGCAACAATAAAACTTAATTAATATTCAATAAAAATGTATTGGATATTTTAAGGACATATAACACTACCCTAGCAACTAGAACCAGCTTCGCAGCGTTTGTTAACATAAAAGGCTGATGTATGCTACTTCAGTGGCCAAGAAAGAAAGGTAAATCAGTTATAATCGTACTATCAGAACTTTCAACATTACCAAGAAAATAAATGACGAGTGCTTTTCCAACATCATGTTATTCCAACTCACACTCCTATTTTTGATTTATTTTGCTATATGACAACAGTCAACGTAGTTGGAATAACATGTAATTCCAACTACACCAAACCAAGCACAAAAATTTCTCTATTCACATTCCATCACTACATCAATAGTCATCTAAAGTCTATTTCATGCCTCCAACGTAATAACTTAGGGACTGTTTGGTTGGTTAACCAAAAAAGCATGAAACCTAATTCATGACCCGAAATCCATTTTAGAGGTTTCGGACCGAAATTGGTTGCATGCGAAAACTGACATGGCGATGCTTTTTAAGACATCTTTTACATAAATTATCAAACCAATCTAACATAAGAAATGTGAACTTTTTTCGGCTTGAGATTTTCGAAGCTAAAGTGGCAAACGTGGAAACAAATTCCATCCCCTTAACCGAAAAGGAAATAAGATTCACCCAAGACAACAAGCAGGTAAACACTAGTACTTTTTGAGAAACAAAGAACAGAAATAAACCAAATTTGAGAAAACACGGACATTGAAAATGTACAAATGTGCACAAGCAGAAGGTTCATGAGTCACTCCAGAAGATGAGCAGCCGAGCAAGTTTTCCCTCCATCGTGCTAAAGAAGTTTGCCATACGCTTCTTTCTATCACACCCATTGGCAGTAAAGAAAATTCAATGGATGCTTCTGCTTACAAAAGCGAGAAAACTAAATCAATTTTAGAAACTATGTTGACCTTAGATTCTGATATCGATAAAGGTGTTATCATAACGATACCAAAATCTCATAGTATTAACTGAAATCTCATAGTATCAACTTGGAGCTAATGATATTTTGGCAGCCGTTAGAAAAACAACAAATTGAAGGGAAAAAAAACTAGAAAAAGAAAGGAATGTACACAAGCAGAGTCTGTTGCCCATATAAGCTAAACAGCCAGGGAAGAAGATCCCTGCAATGTGCATGTAGATGTACGCTTTTGACAACACACCCAATGTTGATACAAAAAACACAATGAATGTTCTGCCTTACAAAAGCGAAAGAATAAAAAAAATATATTATTTCGCTTGTATATCCATCTGATCCGAAATTGATGGGAAAAATAAATTTAAAGAATATAAAACCTTGAAAAAATGGATAAACAACAACTTGGTTTAAAAAAATAGAAGTGTTATATTTAATATTCTTCTGTTCTTTTTGTGTTTGACAAATTAAGACGAATGAACTCTATATATACGGGGAGCTTTTTTCCAAAAAAAAACAAAAAGTATTGAGGTTTGAGAATGGATTGACTCTCCTTAGCAATTCAAGACTGGAAATGACATAAAGCAGATGCTTTTGATCCAGGCAAGATTAAAAAGGAAAAAACCGCAAAAAATCAATCTGGAAGTATGTAAAATGGAATAAATGTACACAAGCAGAAAATCTATGCCTTCACGATCTGATTCAAGAGGCAAGATCATCGTTGCATTGTGCCAAAGTTGTAGGTTTACGCTTTTGACAACACACCCATTGCCAATACAAATAACACAATGAATGTTCTGCCTTACAAAAGCGACAAAAGCAAAATCATGGGGGAAAAAACAACCTCAGCTGGGATCAATCATTAGATGCACAAATTTAAAAAATGGGATCAATCATTAAATGCACAAATGAACAATTTTTCAAAATCGACCCATTTAGTTTTTTATTTTTCAAAATCGACCGTTTTTTCTTTTATTTATCAAAACCGACCGGATTTTGTGATTAGCAGATTAATCACTATCCTAAATAGTCGGGGTTGCCAACCCCGACTATTTAGGAGGGTGTTAAACCCTAATTAAGGCCTTTAATTAGGGTTTAACACCCTCCTAAATAGTCGGGGTTGGCAACCCCGACTATTTAGGATAGTGATTAACCTGCTAATCACAAAATCCGGTCGGTTTTGATAAATAAAAGAAAAAACGGTCGATTTTGAAAAATAAAAATCCGAATGAGTCTGTTTTGAAAAATTATTCATGCACAAATCTTTAAAATGGGCATAACAAATTCCGTACGAAAATAGGATTAACATAAAAAGAAAGTTCTATTGCTAAAAGCACAATTGATTTAAAATTCCTATTTGCTGAACTACAATAGAGCTGAGATTTTTGTAGAAATTGAAAGGGAAAAGAAAGCATTAGAAAAAGTTTGTCGAGTGAAACCTAAGTTAATAGTAAAATCAAGATGCGAAGAGAAAACTGATATTCGTGGATTATGTAGTTTGAAGCCGCGATTTTCTCCTGACAGTGCGGATCCAATTGCAGCTACACAAGGAAACAAAACATATCAGTACTGATTCAGAAGACTGAGCAAACTTTAATTAAAAAAAAAATCAGAAAATTGGATCGAGATTTGAAATTCTACCCGTTTGCTCGATTGGTCCATCACCTTCTTTTTAGAAAGGAGGGTCATTAAGTGGAGCTTTGTAATTTTTTAATGGCGATGAATCCCTGGCAAGAATAGAATATTAGAACAGATAAGACGATGATGATCGAGACCCGCTGCTTTTAGTAGCCACTCTTTTTCTAGAAGCCTCTACCTTTTACGCCGGGCCAATTAGGCCTGTTTAAGGCCCAAAACCTGTATCTTCTCGTTCGATTAATTTAACACGGGAATCAATTCTAGAGCCTCAACGAAGTTCACGGCTAATGCCTGACCCCTCACATTTGCCTACTTCAGCTTTTCACCAGTCCACACAACAAGATAAATACTCCATTTATAGGAAACGTTAAAACTGATACAGGACTTAGCTCCAAGAAACTAGGTTTAAAACTGTGCACCATAAACACAAAACAAGCCTCGGCTGGAGCCGAGGCGACCTTATTCGATGCAAAAAGAAGCTTTCACAGTAAAACATATGAAGCAGATGAAAACAAGAACAATAAACTAGCTTCATGCGATCTCCTTTTCGTAGACTTCGCTGGCATATTTCCAGTTCATGACCTTCCATATGTTCTTCAGATAATCTGGCCGAACATTTTTGTACTGCATCCATTCAAAGGCAATAAAATTAATTTACAGCGTGTTGGAATAGTTCCGTATCTTGAGATTATAACATGCCAAACAAAATTATAACAAATTCAAACAAACAACTTGCTTGTGACAACTAAACCCGAAAACTTCGCACACAACTTAATCCAATGTATCTCACAGGTAAGTTATAAGTACACAAACAACTCCAAATCCTCCCCAAGTGTCCGTTTTTCATGGGCTAATTAATAACTATACCTTAGCAATGTACACGCCTTGTCTTCCCAAGGAGGCAAGTTTGCACTTCCCATGTAGTTAATTCTGAGTTCCTCACATTCTCTAATTATGTCCTTTAGTTCTTACTTCCTCACGTTCTCTGTATTATACTTCCGCATTCTCTATTTTGTACCTCCTGTGTTTCACATTTTCTTAGTGCAGCTTAAGAGATCTTCAAGATTTCAAGCACAAACAAAATACCCCACCCCACCCCACCCCACCCCATACCTCAAAAAGAAAGGGAAAAAAAGAAAAGAAAAAGCACTCCCCTTCCTCTTCCTCACCATCAATTGCAACAAAAGAGAACACTTCTAATCATGCCATCAGTTTTGCAGCATTTGCCCTCAGAACTTTGATCCAAAAGAAAGTATCAACAATGTCCATACAGTATCGTGTGTGCGTGATAAACACTGAAGTAATAGCATCTTGAAATCAATTTCTATATCCAGATACTTGTAAAAACGTAAATGAAAATGTTAACAGATGACTATAAATATAAGAGCGTCAACATATCAATATAGCACAGACAGCACTATCATAAAAACATAAAGCCAGGCTGGCCTTTAAATTGGAAAACGTATCTGTTTTTTATTTTGGGTGATGGTCATACAAAAATACAGATCATAATGATGAATCTGGAGGTAAGAAGAAAAAGTTGGACAGAAAAGGTTTTAGAATCTTTAAATAACATACAGTAAACTTCTAACATACTTACCATCTACATTTGGTCATCCATATAATCATCTCAACTTAGTGACATCTCAAAAATATACTCATACTGAAATAATCAACATTTTCCCATTCTGTACCTTGATTTTTGCCAAATTTTGAACAACATTATATGCACTGTGAAAATGGTTATCGCTAACGACTATTGTGTCTGCACATTTACTTTTAATCTTAAAAGCCCGAACAATAAAGTTCTTATTCGAATGATGTTTGCAAAATAGAAGGCATTGGTGACACAAATTCCTTTCATGTACTTCTTTCTTGTTAAGCAAGGGTTTCAATTCATATTTCAAACTATTGTAACATGTGGGTCCCACTCCAATATTACATTTACAATGATAGCTTCCTTTACGTCTAGAGACAAGTATAATGCATGGGTTTCTTTGAAGTTCATATTTTATATTAAAAAATTTGAAGTAGGAACGAGGTATAAAGCGTACAAATTTTGAGACAATTTAGCTATCAGGTGAGAAAATTTCAACACAAAGCCACAACATCTGACCTGCAAATAGTATGCATGTTCCCACACATCAATCCCGAGCAAAGGAACTAAATTTGCACCTTTAGTCACCAGTGGATCCTGCAAAAGAGATCATTCACATTAGCAAATTCGACAGACATGCATGGCTAAAACTAACTGCAAATCAGGAATTCACCAAATAGAACGTGACAATTCAGCATAAAGGTTGTCTATAGAACACAGACTTGAGAGCATATCAGCAATCAAGAGATGATTGACTAGTTTTTTGACAACAATTCTCAAGAATCTCAACTAAAAAGCAATTTAGAAGCTCATAAAGGAAATATTGAAACACGTAGATCACAAAATTGAACTGGCAATAAGTTGATATCTATCACGAGAATCGAAAGGAAAAAAGAAAACAGGATATGATGTACCTGATTTGCAGTGGTTTCAACCTTAACTTTCTTCACCTCCTTATCCAGAGCCAGCCACTGTAAATAACATCATAAAAGAATAGAAAGATAAGTCTGGCAGTAACATCCATTAGCATAACCCTTGAGAGCTCAAACAGACATAGGGGTGGTAAACGAACGAATCGAATCGAATACTACGATGTTCGTATTTGTATTTGTTTAATATTATCGAATTTGAACTCGAACACGAATATGCATGGCTGGTGTTTTTCGAATTTGGACTCGAATACTTGATATTTGATAAATTTTCATGAACATCCATGAATATTTATCGAATGTCAAAGTATATTCATCCGCTAAAGAATTTAATTTTTAAATAGTATTTGAATTCATTAAAATTATTTCTTTATAGTTATGATGTATATATATTTAATTCAAAATTTTCATTAGAAAACTGATTTAAGATTATTTCATTGGAAAACTGATTTAAGATTCTTTAAGGCTCTCGGAATTAGTATATAGAACTTAAGTAGAAAATATAAGTGGGTTGAAGATGCATAATAATACAAATTATAAACGATCAAATTTTAAACGAATATTTGATAAGCAAACGAATCGAATATATACCTGGTTAAATTCTATTCGTTAATGAACTCAAATTCTAAATATTATTTGTTTAGTTTTAAATGAACTACCGAATCGAATATGACTAAATAGTTAGTCGAGCAATTAACGAACTATCTGTTAACTATTTGGTTCGTTTCCAATCCTAAACAGATGAAATAATCACTAAAAGAATAACTCACCACCCAACCAGAACCTTGCAAAGCAGCTCCTTCAGAGTTCATTTTTTGCACTAGAGTTTCCATTGAACCAAAATCTGTGTCAATAGCCCAACCAAGTGCACCATGTGGGGGTTCACCACCTCCCTCCTGTCAATCATAAAAGCAGCATTCTTTGTTGGGCTATGTAAAAGGCTACAGAATTCAAAGGGTCAGCCGAAATGAATAAAAGAGAACCAACTTACATTGACAGGCTTGAGATTCTTCCAGAATACAGAGTGATTGATATGACCTGCAAGAAGGTATCACAGTACGCTATATACAGAAGTGCGATAATGCAAAATCCCTAAAGCTCAAAATTTTGACACCAAGTAAAGGATGAAAATGAATTCAGCCTCATACAAGAAGTATCTGGAAGTTATTGTGTACAGCATAACTGATATTTATTACAAAGTTCGTATTTTTAAAGTATCTGGAAGTTATTGTGTACAGCATAACTGATATTTATTACAAAGTTCGTATTTTTAAAATTCAACTGACATAAAAATGTAACTTATCGACATATCAAAATTGTTGTATTAAGCTGCAGACATGACAACATGAGTTCATTGTGATGTGCTTTAAGATGTCTTGAATTCCACTCATCTACATACGAACCTCCAAGCCTAAGACGATGAAATATGTAACGGCAGAAAATATCCATGTTGTGACTTGTCAGGGTCCAGAAAAGCGCACAGAAGTGGAACACAGGTGCTTTGTCGAATTGATATGGATTAATGAAATGATGAAAATGGTTGTTTAAAAGTATTTTAAATACTAGACCTTGTCCGATCGAAAGGAAAAAATACATGTTCACGTAACCATTAAGTTTATAATAACATATACATCTATGGTCCGTCAAACAAAGGTAAAAGATAAATCGAGCAACCATAATGGACTCTCTCCAGACCAGACTTAGAATGTGAAGAGATTAGACAAGACACAGGATCATAAGCAATGACCAAGGTATAAAAGAAGATAAGCTAGAGGTAGGCAAAACTGAGCTAGGAGATACAGTAATTAGTAAGAGAGAGGAAGAGTCTTTATCAGTGGCTATAAGAGCAGGAATAAGCTAACAACCTAGCAAGAGAATTGGGCTACATCTAGCAGAAAATTTTCTTAGAAGACACAGCTTCAAATATTTTTCAATTCCACCAACATAGGATAAACAGCTTCCAAGGTCCGAATGTTCTTGATTGCAATTAACTTTTGCACACAGTGACGCCAAAGGTACATATTCCAGAAGTAAAATGAATGTATTGCTAGGAGCATCCTATAAATCCAAAATGCACCACCAATACAACTTTGGTTTACAAATGGGGGAAAGTTAATTAATTTTTTTGCATGGTGTTAATAACATTTTCTGAGGTGCCGGTTAATGTAATGGATAATTGGATGACAGTTTCAAAGAAGTTATTGGGAGCTAATTGCCGTCGCCGATACAGCTGAAGATAACACAAACTACTAATCATATGCTAACAATCCTCAATCCCTAATTTGAAGTAGATGTTAGGCCATCTATTCTCACTAACCAAAATAAATTCATGTATTCAGCTTCATGGATAGAAAACAACTAGCCATCTGCCTGTCCCCAATCAAGTTCTCCATTAATTCAATTGGGCATGACAGGGCTACAACAGTGTACGCTAATTTTCAAGGCTATATGAGTCTCATCATATGATAAAAAAACAAACAAAGCAGAGCAAACTCATCCTCGAGATATTAAGTGCTCCAATGATGAGCAAATCCATATCTTTATTCTTATACCATCAAAGATATTTCAGTCTTTTACAATATAAAAGAAGCAATAATTCCGAGTACAATTAAAGAAAACATAAAGTGGCTTTATTTAAATATAAAGTAGTTTGTTTTTTCTTGATTTCCAAACTATTCGACATTTTTTTAGAGGTAAACTGCGGGAGCACAAGACATTGTAAGACCCCCTAAAATCATGAAATTAGGGGAAATGAACGCAGCACGTGCATCCCTCAAATTTCATGATTTAACAATTCTAATCGCTGCAATCAAATAAATACCGTTATAAATTGTCTTAATTATAACAGAAATAAACAAAATTAGGAAGAAAAAGAAAACAAACCTCCGCCGTTGAACTTGATGGCGCTCTGGAGATGAACAACCTTTGGCGAGTCCCCCTTCGCCATGGCCTCATCGAGCTGCTCCAGAGCCTTGTTATAGTTGGTGATGTAGGTCTGATGATGCTTTTGGTGATGGATCTTCATGATCTCGCCGCTGATCGCCGGCTCCAGGGCGCCATAATCGTAGGGGAGATCGGGAAGCGAGAAGGTCTGGAGGCTTCGAGCATGGCGAAACCCTAACCCTAACCCTAGGGTTTTATTGGAGATCAGGGTTCTGAGAGCCATTGGTGATGACGACGACGATGATGATTGTTTTTGATAGGTGTTAGAATGTGAGCTTCGCTGAGGTGAGTGAGGGTGGTTTATAGATGCGCCGAGGCGGTAGATTGTCTGCCCTCGAATGTGACGTATTATTGCGGAAATGCCATAGAGAATTCTGGGCTGGGTTTTGAAGTGGCTGGGCTTTCAGCAAAACAGTTAGCTCAAGGTGTTTGAAGGGGCTTATTTTCAGAAGCTTTTAAGCTATATTAGTTTTTGTTTGCTTTTGTTTTTTATGATAAAAATTCTATAAAAATTGTTTTAGGTAGAATAGTAACTTGTTCAATTTTTAGGTGAACATATAAGCTAGTTTTTCGAAAGCTAGGGTCTTACCAGTTTTTTAAAATGGGACTTATAAGCTAACTTATTTAGTATTTTACCAAACATATAGATGTAAAAAAGCTAGCTTAGAAATTAGTTTGACCAAAAAATAAACCCTCACTCAGAATAAGCTCCGCCAAACACCGTGCTAATCTCTTCAAGTATTTAAAAAATTAAATTATTTGGGAGATAGTTGAGAAATCCGAACTTTTTTCCTTAGTTAGATGGGGACCCTTCTCCCCAAGAGAAGTGTTCTCAATCAGGTTGAAGTTTTCTGTGTGCTCGAACTTGGTTGTCCTCTCCTGTTATGAGCTCTTCAGACCAAAGCTTCCCCTTATATTAAACAAAATTGTTAAATATATGAAAATATAATTAAAAATGGCATATTTCATCTAATCTATAGTGTGCAAAGCGACCGCGCCAAAGCGAGATAAAAAAGATCTATTCCAAAATATAATCGAATTAGTAGCTAATTATAAGGCTATCAACTAGCCTTGTCGAAAGCATTTAAACAAGACAGACAAGCAATCAAGAAAGCGGATGGAGCTTCCGGCATAGAATAGACATAAAATGTGTTTGGGAAGACTTATTTTTTTAAGCTTATTAGTTATATTGTCTTTTAATGACTTTGGATTTTTTTGATAAAAACACTATAAAATTGCTTGAGTAGAATAGTAATTTGCTTGGTCAAACCTATCCTTTTTAAGTGAGCTTATGAGCTAGGTTTTCGAATGCTTGGCTATACCAGCTTTTTAAAATGGGACTTATAAGCTAATTTATTTGGCATTTTTTAAAATAGATAGTAATAAAAAAGCTAGCTTAAAAGCTAGTTTGACCAAAAAATAAGCCTCTCTAAACACCCTCATGGTCACATAGATATAGATTTTTCTAATGTGAATTGTCCTGGTGGCTAAAATCCATTATGCACTTGATAACGTGAAGCCTTCGGCAAAAGCATATTAGTTCCTTTTCGTCGATCCCTTATTCACGAACAAGCTTACCGGAGAGCTGGAAAACTATAAGGGGTTGTTTGGTTCGTTTTTATTCCCCGTGAAAAACTTTTTTAACCCCTCCACGTTGGTTTTTCCCCTTCCACGTTGGTTATTTCTGTTGGATATCATGTTCCCGTGATATAATTTTAATGATAACAATGTATTCATAATATGAATAATTATGTGTATTATTATGCACTAACATTTCAAAACAGCTATCAACATGAACAAGTGCAAGATGAGTTCAATGCATCATGAAGTAAAGAAGATGAAGAGTTTATACATCAATGTAATTTTTACATTTTCTTTACTTAGAAAAATTGTACAAGCCTTGATCACTCACACATACACACACATAAAAATTAAAACACATTAACATAGGCTTAATGTGTTGGTTAATAATAGAAACCTCCTATGTTAACCATTAGAGTATTTAGTCATTTAATGAGTCTCAAAATATTTCATACATAACATTTTGGACTCTTAGTAGTCGACCAATGACTATTTATAGTCGACTACTGAAGTTTAGATCAAAAATATAAGTTTCTGTCAAATTATAGTCTAGTCGACTAATGACTTTTTATAGTCGACTACAAAGAACTTAGGCAAAATCTCACTTTCTGGTGTTTACAATACAGGGTCGTCTCAAGCATTTTTTAGGCTCTAGGCAGAGAAAAATATTTAGGGCCTTACATTAAAAAAATTTAAATATTAGTTTTTAAAAAATAAATTTTATACAAAATTTAATTTTCTAGATTTTTGAGATGCAAAGTTACTAATTAAATTTTATATTCAAGCTTTAATATTCAATTGATAAAATTGTCAAATTATTTAATCTCTTGAGACATTGTTGAACGTAAATAAGATTTTATTAATAAAAAGATATAAAAGAAAAAAATAAAAAACAAAATACAGAACATATCCGTGAGCTATATGTGTGTGTGTGTGTGAGGAGAATGAATGTAAATTAATTAAAATAAATAAAAACCAACAAGCTTACGTTTTATTTTGGGGCCTTCTAGATTAGAATTGCAATTATGTATGTTGAGTATCAAAGATTAAACAAATATGAAAGATGAGTGAATGAGAAGAAAATAAAGGAAGTTAGCAAGAGAAAAAACGCATAAACTATGCATAAATAAGAATGAGTATTTAATATGTGCTTTTCTCTTTTTTAACTGTTACAATCTAATTAATTATAGAAATAAAATATAAAAAGTTACAATTAAACTTTATTAGTGTTCTTTTCCAAAGATAAAGATAATTATATATAATTATAGCAATAAATGATCAATTAAAGATAATTGATAATTTAGAATCCTTACAATAGTCAACTTCTTATATTTCCAAAATAAATTAATAATTATATTATATATATATATATATATATAGAGAGAGAGAGAGAGAGAGAATATATTTTTTGGGGCCCAATAAAATGGGGGCCCTAGGCATATGCCTTAGTGGCCTATGCCTTCAGCCGGCCCTGTTACAGTATAGTCAACTACAACTGATTATAGTCGACTACTAAACTTTAAATTTTGTATTCCAGAACTTCTGTGTTACAGAGTAGTCAACTACAACTGATTATAGTCGACTACTCAACTTCGATTTTTGAATTTCAGATTTTTTGTTTTACAGAGTAGTCGACTAATGATCATTATAGTCGACTACTAAGACAGTTTTCTGACATATTAGAATTCAAATTAATAACAGTTTATAGTCATTTTGTGTACGTTTTGAGGGTTTGAAAACATGTCTTTTCAAGGCTATAAATATGTTATATGTTCAGAATTTTGGGTCACAAATTCCTATACATAAGATTCAAGTTTTGTGCATCTTTCAAAAGAAAATTTTCCAGATTTTTACTAAGTGTTGAGAAAAATCATTTTCTGATTTTGCCTTTGATCCTCATTCAATATACAATCAAAATAGGTAATTTTCAGAGATTCAAACTATTCCTAGCCACTGCTACACATCATAATACTATCAAGGCTTATAGGAATCAAGTTGTATCAAGACAAGTGTTCTCTCGGATGTGAGAGATGTAATCTCTTGGTAAAGAGATTAGGTGCAATTTACAAGGACTTGCAAATTGGTCAGTGTTTTAGTGTGATTGGATCAGATCCTACAATTTCATTTCCGCTGTTTTTCTTTCCCAGTTTTGTTTCGCTAGGGCTGAAGAGAGAAACAAAAGAGGAAATCGCCGCCACCTAGGTTTTTTTTCTCTCCCCCAATTCCTTCCCCAATTAAGTGAAATCGGCGGAAACCCTGGTCACGTCGGATTTTGGTCTTCCTCGTTGTTTTCTTCTGTGAGCTATTGTTACCTCCTTGCTCTCCTCCCGCCATAAACTCCTGCGACCTTCTTTGTGGTTGTATTCGAAGAAATTAGGGGAGCGGCGTCTGATCTTGTGCTGACGCTATTCAGATCTGATCTTTGCCTACGTTGTTGCTTCATAAATCAAGGTAAAAATTGCTTTTTTTAAAATTTTTAGATTATTAGTTTAATTTAGATCAATTTTCTGAGAAATTGGGGGAGGTGTATCTGATCTTTGCCGACGCTATTCAGATCTAAGCTTTGTATTTGGTTAATTTTTTGAGATTTTAGAGTAACAAAATTTTTTTAGCAGGTCTGAACTTTTGTGTTGTTTAATAGTATGAAGATATTTTGTAGTTTTATAATGTATATATAATCTCTGCCTATGTTTTTATACCTGCTTAAAATTTATGACACATCCTTTTTGACTGAATTAAACTATATATGTAACTTTATCAATTTGTTAACCCTAAAAATTAAGGAAATTTATGGGGGTAAACAAATAGTAAATAAAAACTATATGGTATCACTAGATGTATGGTTTATCCAAATATGAGATGATATGAATATTAAATATCTATATCTAGTAGGATATAGAAACATATATTGTTGGAATAATTAAGATTTTTTCTAGCTTTTTGCAGGATACTACTGATTTATGTATGTAGTGGATAACGTTTCTAGCTCATCAAATTAAGTTTCATTATGTTCTGTGCAATAGAGATTGTTCCTATATGAATTCGTGAAGTATTTTTCATGCAATTAATTGCCTGATTTTTGTGAATTTATTATTACAATAAAGAAGTATATTTAGCAGTTTTTGAGAAAAAATAGTTTTTGCTAATTGCCAATTTTGTGCAAACTGTTTGTAGCTCTTATACTTATTGACTCACTGTTAAAGAAATCTGAGAATTGAGTCTCACGTTCTCAGTTTCTTTTTTTGAGAAATTTCTTAAATTAATGGGTAATTATGCAATTGGGTTGCTTTAGGTGGTACAATCATTCATTTAACTTTTAATTTCTTAAATTAATGGGTAATTATGCAATTGGGTTGCTTTAGGTGGTACAATCATTCATTTAACTTTTAATTCTTTAAGCTAGTATTATTATGCAATTGGGTTGCTTTAGGTGGTACAATCATTCATTTAACTTTTAATTCTTTAAGCTAGTATTTAATTTTATTTTGATGTGTAAGTGTTAGATTCTGAGTACTTTAATCTTCCTAGGTTTAACTTTTTTGGGATCTTGTGTGATGGATCTAGAATTTTGATAGCCATATTAGTGATTGTTTCATTATTAGTTTTGCTATCAAAGATAAAATATTGGTAGATAGTGATTGAATTCTTAGAAAGAAAGGAGTATGTTGAATTCATAAAGGATTTGGATTTGCAATATTTTTGGGTCTCGATAGCTTGTTTAGAATTCTACTTAGTTTGTCATTAATTTTTGTAAATTATAATTCATTCAGGTTTTGTTAGAATTCTACTTAGTTTCTAACTGGATAATGATTTTTGCAACATAGATGGATGGTGATGGAGATTATACCGATGAACAAAGTATTGTTAATATGGTTCAAAGTATTGCACTATCTGTTTTTATTATAATAATTACGGTCATAAGGAGAATACAATTTAGACGTAAATCAATTCGTAGTGGTCCAAGTGAGGAAAAGAAAAGACAAGAGAGGGCTAGAATTGAACACATAGAGCGTATTTATAATGGTTTTAGTGATAGTTGCATAAATTATATTAGAATGCGAAGTTGTGCTTTTGTTAAACTAGCGAATATAATAAGGAACAATAGACTGCTAAAAGACTCGAGGAATGTAACAGTGGAAGAATAACTTATATTGACACTAAACATTTTGGGTTATAAATCTAAAAATCGTATTGTCAGATCTCATTTTATAAGATCAGGGGAGACGGTCAGTAGATATTTCAACAAGGTATTACAAGTAATTATTTGCCTACGTGGATGCTACCTAAAACAAGCCCCCAATGGCATTCCCCAAGAGATTGTTAACAACCCGCTATACTAACCTTATTTCAAGGTATATCTACACTTTAAGCAATTTACATGTATAATCAATGAAAGTAAATGATAACTTAGTAATTTGATTCACGTATTATAGGATTGCATTGGTATGATAGATGGGACTCATGTTGATGCAATGCTTCTGATTAATCTTGTTGCACAATTTCGAGGCCGCAAAGGTGTTACACAGAACGTACTTGCAGCTTGCACCCCAAACAAATCGTTCACATATGTTTTAGCAAGTTGGGAGAGATCTGCAAATGATTATACGATTCTCCAAAATGCATTATCTAGACCACAACCACATGGATTGAAAACCTATGATGGAAATTATATAAAACTTTAACTTAAACATTTTAAATTTAATATGCAAACATGACTTCCTTAACAATTTTCTTAATAAATTTGTAGGCAAATACTATATGTGTGATGCTGGGTACCCCACCATGCCAGATTTCACATATCGTGGTGTTCGATATTATTTGAAAGAACATTCAGGTAAAACACCTAAGAATAGAAGGGAATTATTCAATCTAAGATATTCTTCTTTGAGGTCTAAGATTGAATCTGTATTTGGCACATTGAAGAATCGTTTCAAGATTTTGTGTACTAAACCGTATTACTCATTTCCTACACAAGTAGATATTGTATTGGCATGCATGATACTTCATAATTTTATTACAACTATTGATCCAAGTGATAAACTACTCAACGAGTCCGAAATTAATAAAGATATTGATGGTGAGGTAATTTATGAGAATGACAATAATTTAGTTGATTTTACTCAGACTCAAACACAAAGAGAGCAAACTGAATTAAGAAATGAGTGGAAGACTCTTAGGGATGACATTGCCTGGGCGATGTGGGTGGACTACTGTGATAAGTATAATCATGGTGTAACCACTGAGACTTAATTCACATATTCGTTGTAATATTTATGCTCACGTATGAACTCTTTAACTCTATGTTTTGCTTTGTCCACTTATTAGGGTTTGCTTTTCATTCATGTATTAATATGGCACTTAATCAGTTATTATATTTTGCTTTTCATTTAGTTAGTTTGTTGTGCTTTATCTACAAATTTTTATGTATTCAAGTTTTGCTTATTCTATAAATTTTATAATATCTAATTCTTACTATTTAATTAGTAATGGCTGATAATACATCATTAAGTGGGAGAGATAATCATAAAGGTAAGGGTATAGCGCAATCTCAACCTCCACCACCTCAACCCCCTCAGTCCATGCATCAAGCCGAGAGTGGGTATTTTCCATTTCAGCAGCCCTACTTTGGACAACCACCTCATGCAATGTCCAACATGTTCCAAGACGGCAGTTACTTCCCGATGCACCCACATTTGGGGTCATATACGAACATGCTAAGTTCTCCTACTTTGCCTCCACAATTCCATAGTCTTCATATTAGTGGGTTGCAAATTTCACCCACGATCGGGTATGGATCAACTCTCAAATCAGGATCTAAATGGGTGCCCATAGAGGAGAGGGAAGAAATATCACCAAATCCAAAGAAGAAGAGGAAAAACATGTGCTCAACAAAGAAAAAAAATAGTGAGACTGATGGTTCTCAACGTAACAAATATATGTTTTGAGATTCCCATTACGATGATGAGCTCATTCCATTTCTTGCCGACTTGGTAAGAAAGAGTTACAAACCCGACAAGAGCTTTAAGAGAACCGCTTTTCATATGGCTTCCCAATATATTAACGAGAAGTTAAACACAATATTTAAGTGGGAAAACATCATGAACCACATCAAAACTTTACGTACAAGATTCCGTGATATGTAAACTTGTCGTAATCTGAGTGGTGTCGGTTGGGATGATAGCACCAAGACCGTCATCATGGAGCCTGAATGTTTGGATAGGTGGATTGAGGTAAATAAAATATTTTTGCACTTTTATTGACTAATTATCTTATTTTCTTGTTTTCATTGAATTAATTCAATTGTACTTTCCAGGACGAGAGCTTTAAGAATGTTAAGCTTAGACAATACGTCAACAAACCCTTAAGGCATTATGATGATCTTGCCCTTATCATCGGGGATGATCAAGCTAGAGGGGATTTTGCTAGTGATGCTTGGAAAAAATTCAGTTGTAGCGAGTCCATAAATCTTGGAGACGATGCTGACTCTCCTTTGCCTGCCTCGCAATCCCCTCAAGTACACATTTTAGATGATGAGGATACTCCTCAGGAAGCACCTGTCACATCAAGTTCTAGGGAAAATGCATGTGTTGGTAAGGGTAAGGCTCGTAGGACCAACCTAGATAATGAGCTCATGCTAAAAATGATGGATAAGATAGATGTATTTAGCGCTAGCATGAAATATGTAAATATGCATTGGACCGAGAAGTTATCCACGGTTCTATATGCTCATTTTCAAGACTTTAGTAATGCTAAGCTATATACATACTATTGTCACCTCTTTTTGAATGAGCATGAAGCAAGACTATTTATGGGTATATCTCCAGTTGGTTAAAAAGAGATGATTGATGCCTTTCTTAACAAAGAGGGTTGAAGTCCGATAGAATGTGTGTACGTGGTATTTTGTGATTCTCACTTCTAACATACTTGTGAAATCCACTTTTGGTAAAAGACTATTATTGTTTAATTCAGGCAACTACTCGTAGGAATGTTATTTTTGTGTTTGTGGAACAATACAATGATGGAACATATTATTTTCATATGTAGTAAGTATTTATATGCCTCCATATTATAATATTTACCTTTCATGATGTGAATGCTATAGAATACTAACTTTTACATTGAAATTGTGACTGCAGGAACTTTATAAGTCACCATACGAACATGATAACTGATAAAATTATCTGAGCGGCAAGCAACCTACAATGTACACGCATTGATTTGGATGGCTATTATTGTGGGTTATTAAGGTATTCGGTTGTCATGCTCCGAGTTTAATTTGGTGTCTTTTTTACTTTTAGGCTATGATGATTGTTAATTTCTAAGATTAGCAACGTGCAATATCTATTGATATTGTACTGGATGGATAACAATGATGATATTGACCAAATTCTAAGCTCTAAGAAGTAATCAGTAGCCAGCAGTTGATTACTTGATGTTGTTAGTTGGTGTTGTTGGTTGGTTGGTTGGTTTGTGTTGTTGGATGTCCAGTCACTTGTTGTTGTTGGATGGCTGTTTGTGAGCCTGGTTGTTTTTAGGATTGTGAGCCTGGCTATTTGGTTGGTGTTGTTGGATGTTAAGTCACTTGGTGTTGTTGGATGTCTATTTGTGAGCCTGGTTGTTTCCGGGCTTGTGAGCCTGGCTGTTTGTGGATGCTCTTTTGTTCAAGTTCTATTTGTGCTATGTTTTGTGGATGTTGTTTTGTTCAGGTTTGTTCTCAGTCAGGTTTGTGCATAGCAGCCTCCTTATCATCAGGTTCTATTCATGTTTGTGCAAAACAGTCCACATGAGGATGTTTTGTGTTCATGTTTGTGCACACCAGATTTCCTGATGCTTGGGTTTGTATTATGTTTGTATTCAATCACTTGGAGTTCTATTTGTGTTTAGGTTTTTCGCACTGTTTGTGCTTAGTTTTGTGTTTGTGGATTTGTGTTCATGCAATGTTTTTCTGGGTTGTTTGTGTTCAGGCACTTGGTTGTTCTATTTGTTTTCAGGTTTGTTCTGTTTTGTCCTTACTATTTGTGGATTGTTTTGTGCACATGTGACCTTATTTTGTGCACATATTGTAGGCGTCTAAAATTGCCTATAAGAGCCCGCACGAAACTCGAAGCAATGAATTGGCAAGACAAGAAGACTCACCTAAGCAGCTCGTGTGCGCTGGTCAACGCGCGTACGTCAAATCAGCTCGTGCGTGCCCGTCAACGCGCGTACTTCAAATCATCTCGTACACGTCAAATCAGCTCGTGCGTGTCGGTCAACGCGCGTACTTCAAATCATCTTATACACGTCAACCAGCTCGTGCGCGTCGGTCAACGCGCGCACGCCAATTAGTCCGCACGCATCGATTAACACGCGTATATTAACTAAAGCGCGTTCGACGATCGGTCTTGCGGCAAAGCATACAAATCAACAAATCGGCCAAACACGCAAAAAGAGAAAATCTCGGAAGAAAGGGAACATAAAAGAATGAGTCGGCAAAACTGCGCGAGCGCAGGACGGAATAAACCGACCCGCACAAGTGCAGGTCGGATCTGATCCGACCCGCGCAAGCGCAGGTCGGACTGATCCGACCCGCGCAAGCGTAGTACGGAACCCGAAACACGTTTTGATGGTTTTGATGCTGTTTTTGCAGGATTTATCTGTTCCAATGATTTCTAACTGACTTGATATCATCCCCAAACGTGGTTAGGCTGTTGTTAACTGAAGATAGAGCCAAATCACTTGTTCTTATCCAAATAACCGCTTCCGAAGCCCTATAAATACAAGCCTAGGGCCTCCTTTTAACGGGGACGATTGATTATCAAGACGAGGAGGTGCTGCCGGATTGTGGAGTCAAATGAGCACGAATTTCAGCGAGGGTTAACAGATCTTGGCGAGTTCTTCGGCATAACGAAGGAGAGTTCGAGAGATCCAACGCCCGTTCCCGTCCGTCCCTTGAGATTAGGCTTGGTCTTAATCTCGAGAAGAGCCCTGATTTCGCTTGGTCGATCTCAGCGCTTCAAATCAAATACTTTCTCCGAATTTTCCATCAACCGGATCCAGATCTAAGGCGGTCCACGGATAAACCCCGGCACAGGCAAAGATCACACGCAAAGGAAGATCGATAAATGATCTCCCTGCGTTTGTTTTGATAAAGTTGTAAACTTGTTTTATTTTTATTGTGCAAGGAGATCTAATAAAAAGATCAACTTTTTATTTTATTCGAGTTTATTGTAATGACTAAAGTTGTAATAGATTCGATAGCAATGAAAACAGCAATTTTCGACGGAAACAAACTGGCGACCACAGTGGGAGCCAACAGCTTCACTGCCGGAGTTGTCGTGTCGCAACCTCGGATCTGCATCCCGATTGAAGAAGTGGTCGAGTACGAGTTCGACCAACTGAAGTTCGAGGAATATCTGTCGTCCTCCTCCTCCAGATCTTCCGCCTCTCGTAAGCGAAGGAAGATCAACGCCCCCGTTGTTGCGGTAGCTGAACCTTACAACGCCCTTCCGGCCTCCAATGAGTCCGGATCTGCAGATCTGAACTCCTCCTCAATCAAGGAGTTGAGTACAGAAGGCGCGCCTATTTTATCAAAGAGAACTCGTCAAAGACAGCGCCAACGCTGTGCGCGCCAACTCGCTAGAGCCTTAGAGTCAATTGACGGGATTCGTTACGAGGCGGATATGAAAATTAGGCAACGCCAAGCACCCCAACAGCAGACAGATGTCCTCCCCTCCAAACCAATAGCAAATGAATGGATCCAAATCAAAAGAATCCGTTCAACTCTGGAGGAGCGAATTCAAAAGCGTCGCGCGCTTGCGCGCACGCGAATTCTTGTGCAAAAAGCACAAAAGATGCAGAAGAAGGACATAGCTAAGAAACAACCAAGACTGCATCAAACTTGGAGACCAAAATCTAAAACGGCAGCCGAAAAGATCGAGAATCGCGGGTCACTTCAATAAAACGCAAGTCACTCCAATCCGACCTGCCAATTTGCAGGTCACTTCAATCCGACCCGCCAAAACGCAGGTCACTCCAATCCGACCCGCCAATTTGCAGGTCACTTGGATTCGACCTTCCAAATCGCAGGTCACTTGGATCCGACCTTCCAAATCGCAGGTCACTTGGATTCAACCCTCCACTTTGCAGGTCACTTGGATCCGACCTTCCAAATCGCAGGTCACTTGGATCCGACCCTCCACTTCGCAGGTCACTTGGATCCGACCGTGGGTCACTTGGATCCGACCTTCCAAATCGCGGGTCACTTGAATCCGACCCTCCAACCCGTCGGTCACTTAAATCTGACCCGTGCCAGGGTCGAGACAGAAGACGTTCTGCACCGATTACGTCGATCCCTTCGAGTTCCGTACCTCTGGTGGAGCCCCACGACAACATGGATTTGTCCCGATTCAAGGTGAGGATAGTTGATCGCCTGGGTCCTTTGCACGAGGATCGAGGCAAAGTTTTGATCGAAGGACACTTGGGTCCGATGATTGAACCCCGAACGACTCGTCGAGCTGGGGGTCGTACATGCCCTCACAACAATTTCAAGCCTTCGTATAAAGGGAAAACTCTAGTTTTTACCCACCTGGGGGTGTGTATTAAAATCCAAGAGCCCGTCAAAAGTTCACGCTTACAAATGCGTGACTCTAAACGCGTGACTCTTGAGAACGCCAACAAGGAGTTGCATACTCAGAAGAAAACGCGTAAGATAAACGAACGCATTATACCTGAGGATTCATGTAAACAGTCGATAGGTTACTCCGACGGCAACGTCGATGAGTTGTACTATCGGGCTGTGGGTATGAACAAGTCTCGGAAGAGAAGTACCCGGGAATTGGAGTCTCACTACCCATGCGCTAAGATAATCAGGACAGTATTATCAGCATGTAGTTGCCCCAAGACCGCTCCGCAGAGGGTCTCGGTATTTGAGAGGATCTCCAACAGAATAGCTAAGTCCAAACCAAAGCGTCTTCGTAAGAAGCGATCGGCTGTTCATGATAACGAACTTCCAAAAGTCACAATTAACATGGCTGATAAGGGAAAGTCGATTCGACCTTCTAGTTCTGACCCTCTCGTATCGCATCGTCTGACTCAGCTACGCGTAGGGACCACCAGACGTAGGGACTACCAGAGAATGTAGAGAGGGTTATCATCGGATGATGAAGCATCAGATGCTAACTCGGCAATCGCTTCTGATAATACGGTATCCAGTCCGGGACAATCTCGCGAAGTGTTCATGATCAACACCGAGCAGATCGCCAAAATTCTCGATGATGCTCTAACCAAGCAGAAAGAGGCATTCAAGTTCGAAATGGAAACGGCTATGCGGCGGATGAGGGAAGAACATGACCAACAAATCCGAGCTTTGTCAAATCAAATTGGTGAATCCAGCCGTCGCAACGCTGCTAACCGAGTAAATAGCGATTCAGATGTAGATGAACGTCTCAATCCTGATAACCCTCCCGTTGGCCAAAACACTGGGGGTGACTCTACTAAAGATAACAACGCTGGGGGTGGTTCCACCGAAGATGACAATGCCGGGGGTGGCCGTGTTATTCCTCTTTCAAATCGTCCGAGGCCCGACACGAGTGAGGATGAGAAAATGAAAGATCTCGAGAGCAAAATCAACGCTCTAATGTCTACTCGAGAGGTGAAAAGGACCGGCATTCCATGTCCCTATCCAAGAGAATGAGATTCGATCCCGTATCCGGCGAAGTTCAACCTGATTAACTTCACGCCGTTTGACGGGAAGGGTTCACCCACTCAATATCTGATCTACTTCAAGTCCCACTTGGGTATGATCTCTGACAATGAAGCCTTGATGGTTCGGTCATTCGTTGGCACCCTTCGCGGGCCGGCCTTCGATTGGTACCGTCGTCTATTCCTTGGCAGTTTCTTTGATGACGACGATGAGGTATCCATCAGGACACTTTTTGATGAGAAACAAGAAGATGACGAGACAGTCGACGACTTCGTCAAACGCTTTCGGAATAAGGCAATGAACTGCCGAGATCCGATCACGGAGGACTTCATCCTCCAGACATGTCATAACAACCTATCTATTGAGATATTAGAAGTTATGGGAGTCGCACCGTCCAACACTTGGAAAGAGTTGAAGACGCGCGGAGAGCGGGCCGAACGCTTCCTCCGAAGGAAGAAAGCCGAGAGGAGCCAACCAACGGCGAATCTTCCGAACTCAAACTTCGCCTCCCGTAATAAAGGAAAAACACCTGCAGCAACTGTTGACGCCAATCAGACGTCGCAACAGCAACCCTGAAGACAGCAGAAGACTTCGGGTTCAAGACCCCAAAAAGAGTACTCCTTCAAGGATGAAGATGTTCCAGCCATTTTCGAGTCCCTCCTTGAAAACAACAAGATCAAGCTGCCACCTGTCGTAAATCAGGAGGAATCTGACAACACTGCAGATCCGAAATACTGTGCGTACCACAGGAGGATCTTTCATCCTACCAAGGATTGCTTTGCGCTCAAAAATAGCATCCAAACATTGGTTGAAGCCGGCGTTATATCGCTCAATTGAGACGAATGAATACTCCGACAAATATAAGAGTATAAACTGCTCCTTATGAAACTCAAAAGAGTATACGAGTATAAACTGCTTCTCAATTACTCCAATAGGTATATGAGTCTAAATTGTTTCCCACTCTTGACGGGAAGTTCCAGGAGAATTTTTATATGTAATATTCTTAAGGATAACCCGATCATGTAACCGAATGCAATGATAAACACAGTTTCACGAAGAAGCTGGGGGTGGATGATTCATGTAACGGGGAGTTCCCGGAAGAATACTATATGTAATTTTCTTAGGGATAACCCGATCATTACAAACAAAGTGATAAACACTAAACCCCCATTGTGATTTCCGAACACTCTTTTGTTGAGACGAGATTCGATTGCTTCGGTGGATCAATCTTCCCTCACAAAACTCCTATTGGTGTTTGACGACAGATCAACATTTCCTCACAAAATCCCTCACTGGTCAAATCAATTGACGGTGGGTCCACTAAGATTTCTATCCGCCAGTTCATGGTAATTTTCAAAGCTTGACGTGTTAAGTCCTGATCACTTAACATCAAAATCCTCCATCGAGTGGCTAATACAAACCAGTATTTCTACTCCTACTTGTATTCCACTCCCTTTGCTTTCAGGTCAAACCTATAAAAGTTAGGGCTAAAGCCAGATTCCCCTCTCGATTCCTTCTATGAACGAGAGATCCACTTTCAAATTGAGCAATCAAACTTATAAAAGTTAGGATTGTCTCCAACTTCACTTAGTCAAACCTGCAGATAGTTAGGACTAAGATCGAATCATCTCTTTTGATAAACGAAAGATTTTCATCTTTTCCTTTTTTCAGCCAAACCTATAAAAGTTAGGGTCGAAATCGGAATTTTCCCTCAATAAATGAGGAACTCTTTTCTTGGATCAAGCAACCAATCCTATAAAAGTTAGGGTTACTTAAATCTTTCCGATTCTCGGAGTGGAGATCCCACTCCTAGTTTCATCTTTTCAGATTCTGGGGGTGGAGATCCCACCTCGAGTCTCCTTTCCAACTGGAGATAGAATATAAAATTCTTCCTCTTCAGTGTTGAGAGATAGAATATAAAATTCTTCCTCTCCCACTTCGGGTTCGTCTTTGCCCCAAGAGAAGACAACACTTTTTCAACTCCCAAAATCCGTGCCTCACATGTATGGGGAATTTTATCCCGAATCCTGAGTAGGGATAAGTCACGTCTAACACGCGTTGCCGGTTTAGTCTTTCACCGATTGAAAAAGACACCAGAATCTAGTCTGGGGCATTTTATCCCGAAGCCTAAGTAGGGATAAGTCAGCGCTTAACACGTGTTACTGGGTGGTTCGTTCCCGTAAAAACGATCGAGTCTACGTATTCAGCATCGTAGCAACAAAAATCCATGCCTTTTATGCATGGGGAATTTTATCTCGAAGCCTAAGTAGGGATAAGTCAACACCTAACATGCGTTGCTGGTTAGTTCTTAACCGTAAAAAAAAAGAACAAAAGCCCACATATTCAATATTGTGGCAGGTTGTTATTAATAACACCAAAATCCGTGCCTCACACGCGCGGAGAATTTTATCTCGACTCCTTAATAGAGATAAGTCTACGCCTAATACGCGTTGCCGGTTTAGTCTTTCACCGAGTGAAAAAGACACCAGAATACGAGTCTGGGGACGTTTATCTCGAATCCTAAGTAGGGATGAGTCAACGCCTAACACGCGTTGTCGGGTGCTATATTCCCGTAAGAATGGCGAAGTCTATGTATTCAAAATTATAGCGCCAAGTCTAGGAGAATTAACTCTCTTAGCGCAACGTTACATGTGAAACGGGTTTTAATAATTCACATGCTAGCCCGATTCAAACGGTAATCGGTAAAGGCACATCAAACCCGTTGAAGGCTGGGGGTTTGCCAAAAATCCTAAAGTCTATGTCTAACACACATCGCCGGTTTAGTCTTTCGCCGACTGAAAAAGACACCAGAGTCTAAATCTAGGGAATTTACCCCGAAGCCTAAGAAAGGGTAAGTCAACGCCTAATACGCGTTGCCGTTTAGTCTACTCACACGAGAAAAACGAAGCCTATGTATTCAAAGTCATAGCACCAAGTCTAAGTGAATTAATTCTCTTAGCGCAACGTTATGTGCGGAACGGATCCAAAATAATCCGCACACTAGCCCGACTCAAACGGTAGTCGGTAAAGGCTCATCAAATCCGTTGAAGGCTGGGGATTAGCCAAAAATCCTAAAGTCAACGCCTAACACGCGTCGCCGGGTAGTCTATTCCCGTGAGAAAGACGAAGTCTACGTATTCAACATAATGAATGAAAAAGACATATTTTCTATTAATAAAATTGAGTTTGCAGGTACAAGAGTTACAATCAATCTACATGAAGTTTGTGACTACAGGCTTGTTGTTCAAGTTTAGTCAATTCCTCTGTATAAGTTCGCTCAAGCTCACACTGCAATACAACCTTGAAGGATTCCTCGGTGAGGGATAATGTTTTCGCAGCCTCTTGTTTGATCTTGGCTAACTTCTGTTTCGAGAGCTCCAATTTTCCGTATATCACAACTTGTGAACGCTCCAAGTCATCCTTCGCCATCCCCAAGATAACCAACGCCTCCATTTGATCCACCCAACTTTGTTGTGTTTGAATCTCAAGTCCAGTAGAAGCCCGAGTGTCGCGCCATGCTTGTAGACGAGATTCCATCCGGATGGCTATGTACGTTGAAGTACCGGCAGTCTTCAACTCTTGTAACCGTCAGAATTCGCGCTCCAGCCGGTCCAAATCGTCGACATGGCTAATCTGCAACAAAGACCAACAGCTCAGTTAGATCAAGAATCAAAATACATGAATCAGAGCCTAAAAAAGGGAAATTGCGAATCTTTAATTGAAATTCTACAAAATAGAATTTTCCAATTAAGGGTCCAATTAAACCTATACGACATTCTCGGTTCAAGTTAAGTGTCACAGAGTCAAATATAAAGCCTCGATCGTGTCAACATGTGGATTCACAAGCTCAATCATATACAAGAACAGCTCGAGCTCAAGGCATGCACGAGTTCAGTTACATATGAATTCGATAATACAAGAGCTCAGTTATATACAAATTCGGATTTGAATTATATACAAGAGTTCAACCATATGCAAGAGTTCAACCACATGTACAAATTCAAGGCATATGAAGTTCTCGAGCCATATACAAGTTGGGATTCAAGTTATTTCGACCACATACAAGTTTGGATTCAGTCACATCGAGTTCAATCATGTACAAGTTTGAACCATGCAAGAGTTCAATCGTACAAAGATTCAGCTATATACAAGCTTGAATTCAAAGCATACAAAAAAAATCTCAACCAATACTAAAGTTCAGGTGCAAGTCATCAACACAAACCAATACTTATGTACAAATCCGGATTCTGTTGTTGAGGAAGAAGATTCTGAAAGTTCAGGAGCTAATCTGAGTTTAGGGCATTGTCCAAGTCCATAGCGCAATGGTTATGGTTCAAATATTACATTGAGGGAAATATTGCTTTCATTTATCATAAATGGGGATGGGAGTCATGTGTGGGGTTCTTTGCCCTTATGTTCGACGTTGCTGCAGACCAAAGAATTGAACGAGTCAGTGCTAGATGGACTTGGTATTCTTCATCAAAGGAAACAACACAAGAGGCTTATTACTACAAGCTTTGGTTGGTGAAGGCGCGGGTGAAGAGCAACCATTTTCTCCAGAAAACAATGTGGTTAAAGATTACATTGACACTAAGCTGGAGAGAGGTGAAGAGCAACCATTTTCTCCAGAAAACAATGTGGTTAAAGATTACATTGACACTAAGCTGGAGAGATATCTGCAAAAGCTTAAGGGTTGTTATGGGTTTTCATGTGGTTGTGATGTCTTCACTATCAGCAGAGACGTTATGGACCGGGGGAAAGAGAAGAATTCGGCTATGCATAGATTCCTGCAAGTGTCAACCTGGAGAATTCAGCCAACTTCTCAAACCCCAAATCCAAAGATTAAAGAGTTGGGGACTGCAGTGATCAAACCACGAACTCAACCAAGTTCAACAGGATTCGGCCATGAACAGGTTCAACAACAGTAAAATTTCGGCCAACCCCTCAAACTCCATACCCAAAATTTCGGTTTTCTTCCAAGATTAAAGAGCTAGGGTTGAAATTATCAAGCCATGAACACAATCAATCAAAAAAATTCGGCCAACACTCAAACCCAATGCAAATTTCGGATTTCTCCCAAATTTAAAGAACTAGGGTTTTCAATCATTGAACCAAAGCATGAGGAACTAACTAAAATCAAAGCAAGGGAATTGAAGCCATAAAAAAAAAAGACTTACCCAAGTTCTGAAGCTTGAAGAGGAGAAGAAGCCTGTTGATGCTCAGGTCCAAATCAAAAAATCGCCGAAACCCTCACAAGCTCGGTTGGTTGTGGAGAGTTCAAAGAAGAAAGAGGAAATAGGGAACTTAAAGAGGGGAATTTTGATTGAGCTGGAGTTCTTGGTGTGGAGAAGTTCTTGGAGGTTTAGAACTCAAGGAGAAAGAAGAAGCCGAATTTTTTTTTCTTTGAGGAAGAGGAGCAGGGACCGAAGTTAGAGGAAGAAGAAGGAGTTGGGCATTTTTATTCCCCTTTAAACCCCCTTCCGACCCGCGTTCTGCGCGTCGGATTCGTGTCCGACCCGCGTGAGCGCGGGTCGGAATAATCTGACCCGCGCTCACGCGGGTCGGATCCATCTGACCCGCGTGAACGTGGGTCAGACCCATTTTGGCCGATTTCGTTGTTTTCTCGCCTGATTTCGTCCATTTTCGGAGTTTTCGGTCCAATTTCATCTCCCGGATAATTTTGCGGCATTTTCACTCATATTTGGAATGTTCGGAGTTCAATTCCATCTTCCGGAGAATTTCGTGATATTTTCGCCTATTTTCAGACTATTCAAGACCCAATTTTATATTTTGGGTGATTTCGCGGTATTTCGCCTATTTTCAGACTATTCGGGACCCAATTTCATATTTTTGGGTGAATTCGCGACATTTTAGCCTGCTTTTGGAATATTCGGAGTCCAATTTCATATTTCCGATCGTTTTACGGTGTTTTCGCCTATTATCGGAATATTCGAGAGCCAATCTTATATTTCCAGATAACTTTGAAGCGTTCCGCAAAACTCCAATTGGCGACCATGAGTCTAAATTGTTTCCCATCATGACAGGAAGTTCCTGGAGAGCATTACATATAATAATTCTTAAGGATAACCTGGCAACCTCCGACGGGTACACGAGGATAAACTGATTTCTGAAACTCCCAGAAGTACACGAGTATAAACTGGTTCTCCTCAGGTTAATGGGAAACCGTAAGGTCAACGCCGGTCAATGCGTAGCCCTAGGTCAGCGCCGATCAACGCGTTGCGATGAGAGTCAACACCGATCGACACGAAACCCTAAGGTCAACACGGATCGACGCGTAGCCCTAGGTCAACGCCGGTCAACGCGTTGCGATTGATCCAAAAGTCAACTCAATGACACATCAACAAAAATCTACTCACAAGTTCCAGTTCAAGGCTTCAATAACTGTCAGACGATAAACGCAGCATCGGGAAAAATTTTAGCTATTCGATAAAATACAGAATATGCTAAAATATGGAGAAGTCAAGAATCGAAATCATCTGTAGGTCCCTTAACACTGACTGAAAGTGGGGATCCATCATATCCGAAGCGTTTCAGACTCCTCTATAAAAGAATGAGGCTGAAACACTTTGGAGGGGGTATCTGTAGGCATCTAAAATTGCCTATAAGAGCCCGCACGAAACTCGAAGCAATGAATTGGCAAGACAAGAAGACTCACCTAAGCAGCTCGTGCGCGCTGGTCAACGCGCGTACGTCAAATCAGCTCGTGCGTGCCGGTCAACGCGCGTACTTCAAATCATCTCGTACACGTCAAATCAGCTCGTGCGTGTCGGTCAACGCGCGTACTTCAAATCATCTCGTACACGTCAACCAGCTCGTGCGCGTCGGTCAACGCGCGCACGCCAATTAGTCCGCACGCATCGATCAACACGCGTATATTAACTAAAGTGCGTTCGACGATCGGTCTTGCGGCAAAGCATACAAATCAACAAATCGGCCAAACACGCGAAAAGAGAAAATCTCGGAAGAAAGGGAACATAAAAGAATGAGTCGACAAAACTGCACGAGCGCAGGACGGAATAAACCGACCCGCGCAAGCGCGGGACGGATCAATCCGACCCGCGCAAGCGCAGGTCGGACTGATCCGATCCGCGCAAGCGCAGTACGGAACCCGAAACGTGTTTTGACGGTTTTGATGCTGTTTTTGCAGGATTTATCTGTTCCAGGGGTTTCTAACTGACTTGATATCATCCCCAAACGTGGTTAGGCTATTGTTAACTGAAGATAGAGCCAAATCACTTGTTCTCATCCAAATAACCGCTTCCGAAGCCCTATAAATACAAGCATAGTGCCTCCTTTTAACGGGGACGATTGATTATCAAGACGAGGAGGTGCTGCCGGATTGTGGAGTCAAAGGAGCACGAATTTCAGCGAGGGTTGACAGATCTTGGCAAGTTCTTCGGCATAAAGAAGAAGAGTTCGAGAGATCCGACGCCCGTTCCTGTCCGTCCCTTGAGATTAGGCTTGGTCTTAATCTCGAGAAGAGCCCTGATTTCGCTTGGTCGATCTCAGCGCTTCAAATCAAATACTTCCTCGGTGAAGAAGAAGCTCTACCAAATTTTTTATCAACCGGATCCAGATCAAAGGCGGTCCATGGATAAACCCCGGCACAGGCAAAGATCCCACGCAAGCAGAAGATCGATAAATGATCTCCCTGCGTTTGTTTTGATAAAGTTGTAAACTTGTTTTATTTTCATTGTGCAAGGAGATCTAATAAAAAGATCAACTTTTTATTTTATTCGAGTTTATTGTAATGACTAAAGTTGTAATAGATTCGATAGCAATGAAAACAGCAATTTTCGACGGAAACACATATGACTAGTTTTTGTGCTCAGCTAGGTATGTTTGTTGATTTTGATACTGTTTGTGGGTGTTCGGGTGGATTTGTTGATTTTGATATTGTTTGTGGGTGTTCAATTGAGGCTATGATGATTATCAATTTTTCTGAGATTAGCAATCTACAATATCTGTTGATATTACACTGGATGGCAACAATAATGATATTGAACAAGTTCTGAGTCCACAACCATAATTTGCATATACATGTGGCTGATTTATTTAACATGATGTCAAGACATATTTTCAATTGATTTTTGCACATAAAGTTCATCAACATGCATAAATTATCAGGTTTGATGCCTCATTAGTTCTAATTTATGTCTCGTTAATTTGTGCCTTGTTAGTTCTAATTTATAACGTGTTAGTTCTAATTTGTACCATGTTAGTTCTAATTTATGCCTCGTTAGTTCTAATTACTATCATGTTAGTTCTAATTTATGTCTCGTTAGTTTTAATTTGTAACTAACAATTTGTACCATGTTAGTTCTAATTTATGCATTGATAGTTCTAATTTGTACCATGTTAGTTCTAATTTATGTCTCGTTAGTTCTAATTTATGTCTCGTTAGTTCTAATTTGTACCATGTTAGTTCTAATTTATGCCTCGTTAGTTCTAATTTGGACCATGTTAGTTCTAATTTATGCCTCGTTAGTTCTAATTTGTACCATGTTAGTTTTAATTTATGTTGGATATTACATGCTGGTGATCGATGTACCTGTAATCATTTGGTTGTTATGACATTCAATTATGTCTTGTTCATTGACCATTTTGGTTCTTCGTTATATGAGATGATTATATGATTTTGGAATTAGCCCCTCAAATCTTTGAATATGTTACAAATCACTACCTCAAAACTTTTTTAAATTTTGTAAATTAGTCCCTCAAAATTTTAAATATTTTTATGTAACGGTTGATATATGTTCACCTCTCAATTTATGTTGGAAATAAATTTATGCTATAAGGGTGGTAAGCACACTATGATGACCATAGTCATTCTTTCTTTCTTTTTTTATTTGAACCAAACACTAGAAAGTGAGGGAATCTATTCACACATCATTTGTTTTCTTCTTTTTTTAAGTTGAACCAAACTAAGACAAGTGGTGGAAAGTACTTTCAACCCATATTTTTTGGCGAAACAAACATAAGAAACGCTTTTCATGAGAGTAAAGGAAACACAAAAAAAGTGAAGGAAAATGGGTTTTGGAAAATGAAGGAAACAAACCAAACAGGCTTTTATATGATTAAGATTACGTCCAATAACGAGCACAAATAATTTTGTCTATAGTGGGGGGTAATCTTACCATGGTGATCATAAACACTTTTCCAAATTAACCAAACACAAGAAAAGTGGAAAATGTCAAATCAATAAAAGGTTTTCCTTTTTTTCATGCAAACCAAACACAAGAAAAGTAAATACATTGGTTTCCCACCTTTTTTTATGTGTGAACCAAACCAAAACAATCTATTTCTTAGAAAAGTTTGGAAAACTCAAAACTTGTGTTTCTTTACATAGAATTACATTTTCATATATCTAGGAAACAAACCAAACAGCCCCTAAGAAGAAAGTCACCTGAAAGACCGTTTTCTTTCGAATTAAATATTTTATAAAATCATAAATTTTCAAACCTACATAAGACACCTAGAACTTTCAGAAAATTGTTCATGAATTAAATATCATGACCTTCTATATTTTTTTAATAAAATTAGCATAATTTTTTAGATGAATTCACCCAACTATCATGGATTACTCTATTAAGGGCCTGTTCGTTTGCCCCAAAAAAACGTGGAAAACTGGGAAATGAAAACAAATATTGCTGCCACATAGGAACAAGGTTTCGAGTGATTTCCATTTCACCTGTTCGTTTCACAATCTGATTTAGAGAAATGGGGCCTTGAAAACGTGTGCCACGTAGGACTTTGGGAATTTGTGTTTTCAGCTACATTTGGCCTGAAAACAACTCGGAAATGTGTTAAACAGCCATTAAAAAAATCGCTGAGTGTTTTTCAAGGCGGGGGGAGAGAAAACTGGGAAATGTTAGGGTTGAAACGAGCAGGGAAAACCAAGAAATGTGATAAAGGACAATTCATTTCTTTATTGCAAAGAGTTGAAACGAACACAGTAAATGTGACTTTTGATTTCAATCCCTTGATTTCCATGTTGAAACGAACAGAATACTTCAAATCTAAGAAAACACTATGAAATGCCTTGAATTTGTTTTCGTGGTACAATTCTGATTTCTTTTTTTTTTGAATCTAAGAAAACACTATGAAATGCCTTGAATTTGTTTTCGTGGTACAATTCTGATTTCTTTTTTTTTTTTTTTCCGGAAAACAACCGAACATGCCCTAAAAGAAAACTGCCGTGAATTCCGGTAATATTATTTAGTATTTAGTGCTTACTGCCAATTTAGAAACTTTTTGTGCATTGCCACAAACAAAAATCGAGAAGGCCCAGTGCCAGTGTCAATTATTCAGTGGGCCTTATAATTTTTCGGGTCGTTTCAAATATTGTCAATATAAGACCCAATAGCAAAAAAAAAAAAAAAAAAAAAAAAAAAAAAAAAAAAAAAAAAAAATCGGAAGCTCATAAAGACATAATCAAAGCTGACTCCACTTGAGGTGGAATATGAATATAAATACGCACTAGATTAATCACATGATCAAGAGCTGGATCTATGTTGTCCGTGAAGTTCCAAGTGTAGGAAAATCCCAAAACTGAGAAAGAGCCAATCTATAGATTCATAGTTTTTTTTAAATATAATTAAAGTGATCTTATAGCCACTTAATTAATCAAAAACAACGGTAAAATTCCAAGTTATCTATTGGTAGCCCCCGACAACAGGAATTTAGGAAGTGATAAGATTATTTAATATGAGGACACAAGAATCAATTGTACGGAGAAGTGAGCAGAATATAATCGGAATATCTTCTTCATTCGTAGGACTCCTTTTTCCCCCCGGTGCCACACGCACACAAAATAAGTAATAAATAAATAAATAAATAAAATAAAAATCCTCGCTCTCTCAAAAGTGTATAATAATTTCATTCCTGGATGAGTAAGTCTAGTCAAAACAACAAGAAAAGGGAAAAACATTAAAAAAAACATCTAAGTGATGCATCAAATTTTATTAAAGTTAAATAAGAAAAACTCATATGCGTTACTTTTTAGTAGCAATGTAATTAGAAAGGAGATTTTTGGTGATGCACACTTCAACATAAATTGTATTACTTTTTGGTGATGGACAGGATCAAATCCTAAATAGATAAGACTGTAAAAAGCCAATATAAATCAAAATATTACCATAAGACATATATATAGATATTGATTGGTTTCTTTTCTAGTGTTTAATTGTTAAATGTAAAAAAAAACTATTACCTCGTGTTTTCAAATTACTATATATATGTGTGTGTTTTTATATCGACAAAATATCACTTTTAAAGTCCGTTTGCCTCCTCATTAATGTGCTTATTGGAAAACAAGTTGTCGCAGTGTATACTTTATCTTAGATAGGAGGACAAAATACATAAACCAACATAAAAGTAGATTTTCAGGAAAGTAATTCATCCTTTTTGTCAATGTGTTTATTGGAAAACAGGTTGTCAAGTTGTATGTGGTATCTAGGATCGATCGAAACGACAATATACACAAAACAACATAAAAATAGATTTTTCACGAAATTAATAAATCCTCTTCGCCAATGAGTTTAGTGAAAAACAAGTTTGTCGAGTTGTACAATTTATCTTAGATCAAAATGACAAAGTATACGAACCAACATAGTAATAGATTCTCATGAAATTAATACAAAGAACATCGCAATTAAATCACCTTTTCTAAGTGTGTATTTTCTCAAAAGCAAAAATAAATAAATAATATCTATTATTTAACACATCTAATTTCATTAAACATTTATATGCTCAATACATTGATTAATTTGAAGATTCAGTGACCATGCACTTAGCCAATTAATTAACGTACACTCTGTGTGAAGTTATTCAATGACTTTATATCATGTTTATGAAATATAAATAATTTAGATTTAAAACTCATTCACAACAAATGTTGTTTTTTTTTTCAATAAAAGAATGTCGGGAGGTCACATAGCTGATGCATTTAATGCTAGTCTCCTTTGCGCTAGTCCTTGTTCCGAACCAAAACTAGCTAGACATCTAAATCATGCATCTAACTTCATGGAACTCAATTATGATAATATTTATAAATTCCTTGACCACTAATCCAATTTGTATTAATTTAAACTGAAATATGCATCTATCATCTAATTCTAGAAAAAGAAAGCATTACATATATTAAATACATTATACTATACATCATTCATCTCATTGTGTAAAATAAAAAATGGACTCAGAAATTCATACGTAGTGATGAGCTTCATAGACTTTTGAGAATTAATTTTTGTAATGATTATTGATATATAATCGCAATGAAAGTGAATTTCATTGGAAAAGCGTTACTTTTTTAACCAATCGGTTGTTTTTTTTTTTTTGAGCTGAAAAACAGGGGCTAAGCCCTGCTCATATATTATAAAAGCACTGAACAAAGTTTACAAAAGGAAAAAAAAAGTGGATATACGAGAGTATACCCATCCAAAAAAAACAAAAGACCAAAAGATAGGCTTCACCATCCGAAAGCCTACCAGAGTTTTACCAGAACATCAAAACCAACTATTCTAACTACCCGACAAAAACATAGTTATCAGAACATCAAAAAAACAGAGGCTAGAAAAAAACTTAGATAAGAGTCTTAACAACAACATTGATCTTGAGATCCAGAGGTGGTATCAATCCAGCTACTTCCTTCACTTACTGGAAGTTGTCTCCAACATCATCTTCACCTCTCTTTTTAGCAATTTCATCTAGCTTGAGTTTGATGGCTGCTTTGTGGATTCTTTTGGCCATCCGATATTCCTCCGCACCTGTCCAAAGAAGGGTATATCTTGCTATATTAGCTGCAGTCTTATCAGGGTTAGGCATAATATCCCTAAAAACAAGTTGATTACGACAGATCCATATCCACCAGCAGCAGCAAGGAAGAAGCACTTTCCACACTTTCCTAACATCAGTTGAGATTCCTTGATAATCATTAAGGAGGATCAGCTCATCAAAGTGATGGAACCGAGGGACTGGGTTACTGCTAGGAAGCAGGGCAGCCCAAATTGATGACGCAAAAGGGCATTTAATGAAGAGATGGTCCATATCCTCCAGACAAGAAGAACAGAAAGGACATCGGGGATCACCAATCCATCCTTTAGAAACCAAGTTTGCCCTGGTGTTAAGCCTCTGTTTACTAGCAATCCAAAAGAAGACCTTAGTTTTAAGAGGGGTGGGGGATTTCCAGATGAAGTTGTATAAAGCAGATTTGATACCCCCAGAGGTCAGATCCGTGTAAAAAGATTTTACAGTGAATATCCCAGAAGAATGTAGAGGCCACCACAATCTATCAGGAGCCAGGCTATCAAAGACAGAAAAGTTATCCAAGAGAGAATGAAGATAAAAAGTTCTCTGTCTTTCTTCTATCGTGATGCCTCTCCTGAGGGTAGCATGCCATTTCCACTCGTTATTGAGCATAAAGCCTTGAGAGCGGATGACACAGTCAGGGGAAAAAGCACGATAAAATGCTTGAGGAAATAAGCTAATAAGAGAATTTGCTCCGGTCCACTTATCAGTCCAAAATCTGCATGCTCGACCATCACCAATGTTCCATCTTACAAAACTAAAGAAAGCTTGATGGATGGAATGCAGGTTTTTGATGAATTTGGAAGCTTGAGGGGAAGGAGAGAGGGTAACAGGGTTAGCACCATTCTTGGAATAGAGGGAGAAGACCACCTTGCTTACTAGAGTCTCTCTGTCGAAGATTTTCCAGATCCATTTAGATAGGAGAGCAATGTTGAAGGATTCAAGGTGGATAACGCCCAATCCACCCTCCTTTTTCTGTCTGCAAACTGAACCCCATGAGACCAAATTCCTAACAGACGAAGATTGGTGACTGCCATTCCATAAGAAGTTTCTCCTTATCTTGTCTACTGCTTTGATGAGCCACCTTGGTAACTTGAAGAAAGAAGAGTAGTAAAGAGGAATGGTAGAAAGAACAGAGTTAAGGAGGGTCAATCTACCACCCAAAGATAGAGTTTTACTTTTCCAATAAATATTTCAGAAAGTGAGCAAATTGATATGATGATTAATTTAAGACCAACTAATTAGGAGGAGAAATGTCATGAAAATTAATCATCATATCAATTTGCTCACTTTCTGAAATATTTATTTCCCCAAAAGAGAAAAGCCTACGCCATCACACGTTTCTATTATACACCCGAATTCATAAAAAGATAATACCAAAAGCTCATACACACTGTTTTGAGAAACTTCTTGACCGCTTAATTAATAAATTTATTAGATAAGTACAAAACAAAAAGAAAAGTGTTTTTTTTTCTAGAACTTTGATAAAGGCAACTAGGATGCTACATATTACCTACTTACATATCTCTTATACAATTTGTGAATAAGTCCTAAGTGGTCGCTTACTAGCCAAAACGAACTAAAATACAAGTATACTTCATGCTTGGAAGATTAGTTAATCACATCTTTAGATGTTTTAAACCAAATTAAACAAGACCAACCTTTTTTCCTTTGGCAAACTCATTCCTTAATATGTTGCATCTCACAGAATTAGAAGGAAGGAAAAAGAGATGATAACATCTGTTTTAATCAACTTTAGCATTAGAAGCTACTAAGAGATAGACCAGTGATGCAAAACTCGGAGTCGAATTCTGAGTATAGTATTTACCCTCATAGTACTACCATCTCTTATCAAATAGTAGTAGTAGTAATAATAATAATAATATAAAAAGAAAGTGTGATAGCCAATACTAGAATGTATTGGCCCCTCGTTTTATATATAATAACACATTTGTCTTCTTTTGGAGACTAATAACCTATTATTCTATTAATTACCGAAAAAACACTTTTGGCCGGGTGGCATCTCTTTGTAGTTTTTTGTTCCCTTCTCTCTCTCTCTCTCTCTCTCTCTCTCTCTCTCTCTCTCTCGTTTCCAAAGCTCTCGTCCCCCCTAATACCTCAGAGGTAGCAAGAGAAAGGACTGCTTCAAGAGCACCAAGGTTTGTTCTCCAAACTCTCACTTAATTTCAATTTATTTTTTAATAATTTTTAACTATCAATGTCATTTGTTTAAGAGTACTATTTGTTATTTGCTCTCATTCGCTTATTATTTTTTTAATCCAATCTTATGCTAGCTAAGCTCTCACCATGTGCACTACCAAGATCTCTAACCAACCAGCTCTCTCTGAGGGGAATAATGAAGGAGAGGAGACTGTTAAGGGTAATGGTTGCGTGATTAATGAGGTAATAATGATTTAATGGCTTTTACCCACTTTTTATTTGTTTCTCTTCGTTTTTTGTTCATGCATTGAGGAAAAAAGAAAGATATATAATCTATTTCCCTAGAGAATGGGGAAAGAAAAAAAAAGGAAATTGAGATTGTAATCTTTTCTCCTTTCTTTGTTTCTAAGTTTGTGTTGATCTGGGATATTATATATGTGATCCTTGTGATTAAAGATGGTAATATTAATGAAGTTTACTTATAAAAGAAAACAAAGGTGGTAAATAGTTAGAAGGAAAGTTTAAAAATGGGTGACAAATACGATTGAGTGACAGGAGTCCAAATAAGGGTCAAGATTTTGACAGTAGGAGCCAAATTTTGGTGGGCTTGCTGTAATTTTGGTCTCTAACCTTTACACTAATAATACTTAAACCTACATACATAGCATTAGTACAAAAATCCTACACATACACTGATCTCAAATGGCCATTCTCATAAATGAATATGTAGACTTTTTCTAAAATTTAATGTTCTTGTTTTCATCCTCCTCGTTTAGGATTTAGTTCCAACGACAACATTTTCCTCAATTTTGTAGTATTGGGAACAGTTTTGTTTGTAGTGAAACCGTATACGGTTCTAATTTGTATAAGAAAGCTTAATAATAATAATAATAATAATAATTATTATTATTATTATTATATAATTAGAAAGAAAGAAAAGTTTCTAAGATAAGTTTGATGGTGAGTTAGACGCAATCAAGATAGAGAAGCCACCAAAGAAGAGAGAGGGATTGGATTCGGTTGCTCTCCACTATTCGATTTGAATCAAGATAAAGAGAGTTTTAAGTGCTTTTCATGCATGCAACAATCTAGACCTAAGTCTGCTTTATAGGTAGCTTATGATAAACATTTGAATTGGCCGCCAAAAGGCCAAGATCTACACACAAATGTTGGCCAAGATTAAACAACGCCTTAGCCTGTCTCATTTGCTTTAACAATCGCATCATTCATTAGTTGATTTTTAAAAAAAAGGTAGACTAGAAAACGATGGCTTGGTGGATTAATTTAATAGGTCAAGCGCTAACCGGCCGCAATGTCACTAATATAAGTGGTCATAATTTTTGAAATATCATTTTTAATCATAATAGTTCTTTAATATTTTGGATGATTACAGATCATTCTCATATAACTATCATATTTTTTTTTCGAAAAACACATTTGTCACATATTTTTAATCAAGATAAATTATACTCATTTATATCAATATGAATTGACAAGAACGTTCTACACGCACGCGTGATGTTTCTATCCACACAAAGCAAATTAAATAGAGGCGCAATTTAGAAATTTTCATGTATTTGTACGGAGCAGAACAACTTGCTTGCATGCGGGATTTCTAATATAATTTGCGTTCTTAGGTTACAGTTGTCCGTAATCGAAAGGGGTGAGTTCTCAATAGCATAGAGAAGTTTGAATCCTTTCTAATTTATGCTCATTTGTCATGCATATGGCAAATACGAATTCTATAAGAATAATCCACATGCATGGACGATATGTTTTCTATCCATATATATATACAAGGAAAAATAAAGGAGTACCTTGGGAATTTCAATGTTTTTGTATGGATGAGTACAGGATAAGATATGCCTTCTCAAATGACAGATATTTGTAATTGAAAAAGGTAAAACCTCAATGCGGATTTAAGATTTGAAAGTTGGAAGCCCAAGGTGGAACATTGGCCGCTAATTCCCTCATACTGCGTGTTCTTTGATGACGAGAAACTTCAAAACTCATTATAAGTTAGCACTTCACCAAATGCTTTCAAAGAGGTTGTTAGAAAGGGGATTATACTGGCCCATCTGCTAAGCCCACATTGTTTTTTTTTGAGATACTTTCTGCTCAACAGCGCAGCATTGGAAGAGGAAATAACGAGGGAAGCTTTCGAACATGGTTTGTTTCCTATGTGTTTCCTTTACCTTTGTTATTGCTTCTTAGAAACGTAGTAGTGTGCGTCCCGTGCAAAGCATGACCCTCTGTTTTTTTTAAGCATTGCGTTTTAGACCCCCTCCCTCTAAGGCTTAACACATTTGATTTGATTATTATATGTTTAAAATTAGAAAACATATACACTGCTCTATACTTAGAAGGATATCATTCATAATAACATAAAGTACTGTAGCATAAACAGTAAATTTACTCCACTATACTTAAAGGAGGACCCAAAATTTTACCATTCGTAGTATAGTAATTTACTATAGTATAAACAGTAATATTTGAATCATACTTTTTTAAGTATAGAAGAGTACATATCACCCGTAAGTGCGACTAAACGTTAAAAGTTCATGTACCTTAACATCACGTGTTATTCTTTCATTGCAGATTGGCATGGAGCTACTACTTCTGGGCCGCATTGTTTGGCCCATAATAATCTCAAGCTTCCTGCTATACTCCCGGTCCTTGATCTCCATGTTCTTCTTGGGCCATTTGGGCCACGTCCAACTGGCCGGTGGGTCCCTCGCCATCGCCTTCGCCAACATCACCGGCTACTCCGTGCTTAGAGGCCTATCCATGGGCATGGAGCCCATTTGTGGCCAAGCCTTCGGAGCAAAGAAATTGAGCATCCTTAGCCTCACCTTTCAAAAAACACTCTTGCTCCTGTTGTTAGTGACAATACCCATTTCGCTTTTGTGGATCAAAATGAGGCCCATACTTACCCATTTGGGCCAAGAAGCAGAAATCTTAACAGTGGCTCAAGAGTACGTAGTCTTCTCCTTACCTGATCTAATGGGCCAAGCCTGCTTACATCCAGTGAGGATATTTTTAAGAACTCAAGGCCTCACAAAACCTCTCACTCTATCGGCCACAATTGCAATTTTGCTTCACATACCCATTAACTACGTGCTGGTAACTTACATGGGCCTTGGGGTGAAAGGAGTAGCTCTAGCTTCATCTTGGAACACCATCAGCATTGATTTGGGCCTGTTGGTTTATCTTATTTTCTCTAATATAGCTTTAAAGCCATGGGCCGGAGCCTCATTAGCTTGTCTATATGGGTGGGGCCCACTCATCGCTTTCGCGGTCCCCAGTGCTATTTCAGTTTGTCTCGAATGGTGGTGGTATGAGGTAATTTTACTCTTATGTGGGCTTTTAGCAGATCCAGAGTCAACCGTTGCGGCTACAGGCATTTTGATTCAGACTACAGGCCTACTGTATGTGATTCCATATTCACTAAGTATGGGCTTATCTACCCGTGTCGGTCATGAGCTTGGAGCCAATCGACCGGCCCAGGCCCGGAGAGCAACCATTGTCGGCCTTGCAGTTGCTATTGCCTGTGGGCTCATGGCCTATGCCTTCACTCTTTCTGTTAAAAATATTTGGGGGAAAATGTTCACAAGCGATCCAAAAACTTTGGCACTGACATCCGCAGTTTTGCCACTCATCGGATTTTGCGAGCTTGGAAATTGCACACAAACAGCAGGCTGTGGGGTTTTGAGAGGGAGTGCTAGGCCGACTGTGGGAGCGAATATTAACTTTGGTGCATTTTATATTATTGGGCTACCGGTTGCAGTGCTGGCAGGCTTTCAGATGGGGTTCGGCTTTTTTGGGCTTTGGCTTGGGCTTGTTGCAGCCCAGGTCACTTGTGCTGGTCTCATGTTGTGTATAGTTTGCCACACTAACTGGGTGGTTCAGGCAGAGAGGGCTGAGGAGCTCACGGGAACGGCTGTAGAGGAGAGTGATGATCTGGAGGAAAGACTTCTTGGATGACATTTAAGGGTCCTGCAATCGCAGGAAGTTTTTTTATAGTAGAGTATGAGAGCGAGAGGGAGGGAGAAATGTTATGGGGCCTAATGGTGAGAAGTGTAATAATGTATAAATGGATACATAGTCCCTACAAAATAAATAACGCTGACTATGCAATTACAGTATATATACAGGTCTTATCAAGAATAGAGTATGCAGATTATAATACTATTCTAGAAGAATAAAACAAAATAAGAGGTCAAAACCTTTGCTTTCTGATAGAATTTTGAGGGCTAATTCTCTAGTGTTATATGAATACAGTTGCTAATCACATTATCAAATCACCAGCTTAAAATGGGAAGAAAAATACGTATTTAACTTTCTGATACTTTGAATTGGGGTTCGCAAGAGAATGGTAGTTGAGAGAATGCATGGGCTGTCTTCAAAAAGTTCCTTTTGAGCTGATAGAGTGAACCTGCTGAAGAACTTGATATTTGATTTCAGAAGAAACGGTAAGATTTCATACACTCAGATCTTTGTTGGAGCTCCAAGCCAAGGCCTGTGGGGCAACACTATTGGCAGCTGTAGTTGTTTCCTTTTCCATATTAAGTAGCGGATCAGATTCGGTTTCTTTCACCTGGGAGAGAAAACACGATCAGTTCCTCATTCAGAAGCATTACTTTCCCAGATGGCTTTATTAAAATACACTTAGAAAATCTTTTGAAAAAAGGCGTCATTGAAATGGTTGACATGATTCAAGCATCCAACTAAAAATGAGCAGGCCTATGTGCAAGGGAATGAAAAGGCATCAGTCATAATGTTATAACTTCATCCTCGGGATAGAAATGACAGAATACCTAAAATAAAGCTATTACTACAAGCATGTATAAGTGGATTTCCAAAAACACATAAAAGATCACTGGTTAGACGTAACAGTTTCGCTTCACCCTCTCTTATGAATAGACACGGACCACTTCCAAATTAAAACTTGCATCCATTTCTTGACTATAGACTGTACTCGGGTCTGCGGGTTGCTTCTTGCGTAGATGAGGTAAAATCATCACCATGTAACAAGGTATTTGTCTTTGCTTAGTGTACTTTGGGTTTCATTAATGTGCTCCCACCTAATACGTAGGAGACTTGAGAGATATGCAAAGGCGATATAACAAAGCAAAATCAATCTTGAAAATGCAGGACATAGATGTTATGGTGTTTACTCACCCAATGTACGGGTATTAGCAAAATGATACAACTATAGCCCTGGCAAACCGGTCTCAATCAACTTAGTGGCCCAAGCCCAACAGAGGTCTTGACCCCGCCGACTCATCAAGTCAGCATTCCTTCAGCCCGACACGAAAGGCGGGGTCAGCCGACCATATTGTCGAAGACCACCCACCAAGGACACTCGACCACTTGGCAACTCACGAAGACGACTTGATGGACATTTCCTGTTGTCGACTAAGTTGAGGACTCGACCTCCGCCTCAAGCCTCTCCCCCATAGTATATGTTAGCATCACAGTCCACCTCAGACAAGTCTTATCCAGATTCTAATCTGATGATCTTCATGACTTGTCAGCTGCCCACGTGCCTCCTGTCACGCCCTCAATCACTTTTCGAAAAATACGGAGACGCCCTCTCATGTGCCAAAGTGACTTCCCCTCCAATCGCCAGCCGTCACCTGTAAAGCGAGGGATGACTCAGCCAGCCAGCGTGCCTTCTGCCACGCTCTCAACACTTTTCGAAAAATGTGGAGACCTCTCCCGTGCCAAAGTGACTTCCCCTCCGGTCGTCAGCCGATACCTGTAAAGCGATGGATGACTCGGCTCTTAGCCCGCACTTCACAACCGCCTCCTTATGCTTAGCTAGAAGTGACCCATTTATTCCTATGACAAAGATATGTACAGGTGGACTCCTAACCTCAAAAAAGAGGCCAGCTCAATAGAGGTCTCTCTCTAAGGCCAAGCTCGATCTAAGGTTGGCTCACTTCCCCGCTCTCTCTCTAAGAAAGGAAAAGAACACACAGTTCTTCATCTACATAAAGGAACACAGATCCTCTGTAACGGCACATTGCCACCTCAAGAACCATATTGGTTCCTGACTTTCCCCTTCCCCACTAAGGTTTCACTAACTTGACTGTCGGAGGAACCACGGGGAACCGGTCCCCGCTCTCTCACGGGTTCTTTTTGTCTGTGCAGCGTGGACTTTTCAGCCCCTCATTCAAGAACCAGACATAAAGTCAGAGAAGAAAGCGGCCCCTTCATCAATCTCCTCTACCTCGTCCTAGCGAGGTCCCAGGAGGAACCGATCCAGTTCCGGATCAAAACCGATCTCATCCCGGATCCGATTTACTGTTTGATCCCGACCATCAACAATAGACATGTATAATCTGTACATAGCTATTTCATCCATTATGCATATTACCCTCTGATAACTCACTTTAAAAAATCACATTTACCGTGCACTTTAATGACGCATCTACATCTGATGCGATATAATTAACTATCGCATCAGAGATAAAGAATGCCAAAGGAAAATAGGAAAATGAAACAACTTATAACGTACATATCTACATATTCGGGCTCTGGCCTCAGAATGCATGTACAACCTGAAGGATCTTTGATCTATCTGAAGACTATTCAAACACATTGCTCTAAATCACTAAGGCCATAACAGAATAGTTTAGTCCTAAAATGAGAAATCAATTATATTTAAGTAACCATACTATGATCACCATATTTTTTTACAAGTTTTGAAAGCTTAAATATCATGCATGCCGATGGTTGATATTAACTACTTCTGCAGGCATATTGGCAAGATTCAAAATTATGCCAAAGGAGAATCTAACAATAGCAATTAAATGTAGCAGGAAGGTATCTATAAGAATGTCAAAATCTTCTTCAATTAAAAGCTCTAATATACTAAAAGGGTTATAAGAATGTCAAATCCTTTTTGAATTGGGAGCTTGAGAGTACTAGAATATGAAAAGTGATACGGAGTCCATAAAATATTTGTCGGCGGTACCTGTGGCAGCTGAGCCGATGCTTCACTAGCTTTCTGCTGGCTCTCAGTTGTGCAGAAGTATGAATATAAAATCATTCCGACTACAGCAACAAGAATGCCAAATATATTTCTCCAGCTAAATGGATCGTGAAGTAGAACATAGCCAAAAGCCAGGACCAGGCAAGTTTTCAAATGACCTAAGACTTGGTAGGTCACAGGTGATGTCTTTCCGATTACAAGAAATGTACTGAAGTTGACAGAGACTGATATTAGACAGGATAGCACAATGAACACCTGCAATGAATTGAAAATAACGATAAGAAACTATCGAGCCGCAAAATAAAATAGTAAATTCTTCCCATGGTTTTGTTTATTACCAGAACTTGAGGGGTGTAATTGAAAGCAAAAACATTTTGATTTGTAAGTAGTCCATCAAGAAACGGACCAACAATGAAGAGAGTCAATGCCTGATAGGGGCTAGACTGATACAGGAGTTGAGTCGAAGAAACCTTAAACTTCTTCTGTATGGTATTGGTCATCTGAGAGATACTGATTAAGGTCTTAAACATGGAGATACAAAAGGAGACATCTTAGCTATCTGAATCATAACTATGAGATAGAAAAGTTGCATGTGCTAATTCCATTGTAGATTTATCTTACTCTAAAAATATCTATAAATAAGCATTGCAACTTTCCACAAAAAGTATTTTTTATTCATGAATGCTTCCTGGAAAGTGGTAAAAATTAGAACGTACAGGGTAAAATGAGAAAAATCCAGGCATAAAGACAATTCAAAATGTCCACCACAGCACAAGGCCATCCTTGCTCCCTTCTCTGCCTGATTGTGGGAATAGAGAGCCAGTTTAAGAAGAAATCTAACACTAGCAAATGTTTTTCTATAACAGCTTAAACAAACAACAGCTGGCAAGAAGTGCACATACTATTGTCCACTGCAGTATCCGCCCAATTACAACAAGATTCTATGAGATTTTAAGAGTACAAAAGTAAATAACCAATGACCATATATTTAAGATGGATATATTCGGAGGCTTCACAAGAGATGGCTGATATTAAGTCCAGGAGAGGAACTATGGAACAAGGTTCCTATGAGAGGAAAAGCAAGAGAAGTTAGCGATGATATATAGATGCAGACTAGCAAAGGTTTTTTCTCCAAACAGTTGGAAGAAGACAGCTGCCATGAGTGTCGCTGGATAATGCACTGCATTGCTTTTCCTCTTGAAAACAAGGTTTCAGAGGACTTCCACTCGTTGCATTTAAATAGGTGACCAATAATCAGGTAGGTGATATGGATATATTCTGCAGTTCTGAGCAAGATACGATGGTCATAAATGTGTATTAGTATGGGAACTAATGAGTTCTCTAAACCCTGTCCACATTGGCAGCTATAAGGTATGAATTGAGGTTTAGGATTCTGTTAGTTAAAAAAAAGGAGTGGGTAACCACCTCATTCTTAGAAAGTCGGAAGTGCATCTAAACCTGTCAATATGATTCATGCTTCTTAAGTAGAAAACACACATAACTTTGAACAAAGATGAGCATATATTCCACTAATCTGAAATATGCCCTAATGTGAAGAATGTGGAACTGTGCAATGTATTCCATGCAAAAGTCTCAGTTAAAGAAACATATTAGAAGTGCAAAAGTCTCAGTTAAAGAAACATATTAGAAGTAAAAACTGCGAAGAATGCAGAACTCCAGTAAAATATGTCATTGAAGGATACAATTTGAGCAATGCAAGTCGTAAGAACAGCAAGCAGAGACAAGACAGATCCAAGAACATTGAGTTGCAGATCTGTCACAGTTGCAATGCCAACACCCAGAAGAAGGATGGAAAGTGAGAGCTGGATTCGCCTACTGCAATAAAGATAATTTGATGTTAATCATGCCAAGTTATGCATTTAAAACAACCAAGAAGTATGCAGTAAACTCATGATGGCTGTGGCAGTAGAGATGCATGATCAGAATGAATTATACAATTTGATCTAAAATTTAAGATGGTGAAAAACTTCATTGACTCCACTTATAGCCAACAAAAAATTTCCCGGTGACAAATGATCCACTCAGTCTCTAGTTAATACGGATTCTTTGTACACCAGGTCTAAAGGAACCAGTTTCTAAGTTTCTCATCTGCAGATGAATTTTTGAAGGGAAAAAACCTCCAAATAAATGGAACCAAACAAGACACATGATGAATTGTAAGAAACTGAAACAAAAAACAAAACAAAAACAAAAACAAAAAATCAATTCCACAGATGCTTTAGATAAGGAATGCAATATCACATAAGTCACATTCTGTAAGGCAGAAACCCTGCTAGTTAAGCCCAAAGGAACAGTAAAACTATTCCAGAAAAAGATGATGCTGTAGAAAGGCACAAACAAGAAAAGTCTCATTTCTGCGTGCTCTGTATTTGACATATGCGGTGACACAAACAAATAAATCACTACAATACATTTTCAAAAGATGAGATATCATACTAGAAATTTAATGGGGAATTTAGAGTGACATAGGTTATCAATCACACCACAAGGTTACAGCATATGGGGAATGGAAAAAAACATATACTATCACGTTCTGCAACTTGCAGGAGATGATCTGTTTAGGAAGTTATCTTGATTGTGTAATGTTATCCATTTTCCCTGGTTTTGAGATCTAACTAATAGGGCAAACAGATCTTCAATGTCACATCCATTTCAACAACACCATATCAAACAACATTAATTAGTATGGGATTATGCTAATAAATTAGATTTTACATTGGCCTACTCCCAGATTGAATATCAGTTTCATGCTCGTACTAACAATTACAGCCACCAATCTCTGTACAAACATGCTCACCATCTCACTCAATTTTCCATATCATGTTCTCAAATTGATGCTATTTGCTAACTACCGTAACTATATTCCCCCATTCTCTATATTTGATGTGAACCATCTCCCTGCCTCGTGTCACTAGAGGGGACATCCTAGGTGACTGATGCTGTCCACAATATGCCATCTTTCCATTTCAAGTAGGGCTTACTGAGTTCTACTACGTAAAGGTTTGAGAAAAGCCACCTCATTAAAGTAATCTTTTTTCCTAGCTAAATATCACCATTGTAGAAAGATTCTAAAGAAGTAATTACACACCCCAAAAAAAAACTATTCAACCTGCAATTGGTATGGCTGCAACGGAGATGGAGTTGGCTAGGGCGTCACATGATAATCTAAAAATGGTGGTGTTTTTACGAATAGGAACGGATGCCTGTAGACCAATAATCAGAAGATTTAAAGTAGAAAGATTGGTTCTGATAATAGCACTATTTTGAGAGTGTATTTTCATGCATTCCTACAATTGATTTGTGAACTTAACTTGTTACCATCGAATCAGCTTAACTGCAACTCCTAATCGGAGATATCATCTCCTGAATGTAGCTTACACACATGTCATATACTGAAACGGATCCAATGTGTCAGACATTGCAATTCTTCAAAACCAGACAGGAGGACACTTGTGCATATACGTTTTTCTTCCCTGCACATACGTGTATTTAAGTCACGTTCGCATATGTATTCGTTTGTCATGAACCTAGACAATAACAGAAAATAGTATATAATTTATAACTGAAGTAGTATTTGTCAATAGGGAGGCTGGCATGTATCTCGGAAGATATCAATTTCTTTTGAGCAAAATGTCTTACTTGTCATAATATAAGCCTTTTTGGCCTAAAATATTTGTGGAAACCTATGAGATTAGATATTCACTCCTACACTTTGTCCATTTGGATAATTTATCAGCCATTCTATGATGCTAATAAGATTTTAGCCTCCATACTATAAAAGACCAAGAGGAAAGGAGGATTTATTGTATATCAAGGGGTACTATCAAGCATTATCTTTAATACTGTTGCGGAGCAAACCACTGACATGTATTACTGAGATTTCAGTTTACATTTAAAAAAGGGAGTGCAGAAGAACTAAGGTGCTAGCTGTCATATCAAGGGTTATCACTCAGCTTTGGATACTATATCATTGGCATGCACAAGATTGACATAGCAAAACATCTGAATGTTGGAGGAAAACCAGTGATAGAACTGTTAAGGCAAGAGTCTCATGCAGGGGAAAAAAAACCCGAACTTGATTTGATATATTGAGTAGAATTGTTGCCAAGTAAAAAGAAAGCAGAAACACAGTTACAAAACAATACAGGCATCGACGTGAAGCCTTCGAGATGCATACCTCAGTTCAGTGAAGGTTGTGCAGTGGTATTTGCAGTTCAAGATATCAAGTATAAAACAATGTCATATCCCCAAAGGTCAAGGACCAAGCAGAAGCTGATGAACTTGAACTTAGGACTCCCCTCAACCCCTCCCCCCACCCAAAAAAAAACCAAGCCTTTATCATCTGACGTAATCCTCAAACAGCAATATAAATTTGAATTAGTTGGCCTATCTAAAAACATCAACTTTTAAAAAGAAATGAAAACTTATTCTTCTTTTCCCTTTTTGGTGTCTAGTTTTATTTCAAAGATTCCAGTTATTTGTTTAGGAATTTTATGAGAAGGTGTATTCAAAAATCTGTAAGCAATTGACCCCTGCAAGACGACATTTGTGAAGTAATGCTAATAGTAGTAGGAGGATAGTATTGCTATGCTCCCAATAGTAAAAACCCATACAGATATTATGCTTGATATGTCTTATAGGCAATATTGTAGCTTTAACGATTATATGCATGGGTTGCTCAATAAGTAGATTTAAGTTGGTCTCAAATGAAATTCAATTCATTATCGAAATCATTTTGACCACATGGAAAAGACGTATCAGAAGTGCATTACTCTATGGATGCATGTTCACTTTCAACATATAATATATAATATAATTGGATTCACTAAAAACTAAGGGACGTTGGTTTTAGCAATGTCCGGTAGCAAAAGATATCAATTCAGTATTTCCAGTAAAGCATTATTATAAATGAAAAGAATACTGTGAGACCAAGAAATGTGTAACATGTAGGCTTCTATTGTCATTTAGAGATTAATCAACACAATAAACTTTATGAAATTGGAAATAAAAGAAGAAAAGAAAAAATAACTAGTATCTACAAACATGTGAAAAGGCAAACCTGAATGCCTTCTTGAAGAAGAGAGTCTCCAATAAAACAGTGCAAGGAATAATGGCCAGTTTTGTCATCTAGCATGGAAAACTAAAGTTAGAAAGCAGGAGCAGATAAAATACTTCACCCCGCCCTACTTGATTTATAGATATTTGACAAATACTTGCACTGTGCTACCAAAAAATCTAAGTCATATTGTTACTTGCATAATCCATTCAGATGAAACTTTAGCATGTTAATGTAGGAGTGCTTTCTCCCTTGGCTCTTTGCCATATAATCCATTTATTGGAGGCTTATGCAGCTTCCAATATCATCACCCAAAACCCTCTATTGGTCTAGATTCACTGCAGCTTACGAGGCATGTCTGAGCCTCAAGTTACCAGGAAAGGACATGGAAGCAGTACACTTGTGCAGTTAAACTGCTTTTTCTGAGGCTTGCTGGACAAGTGTATGTGATAAGTAACAGACGAGTATCCTACTAATAAAAAAATAGTATCGTCTAAATGCCAAATGGTACTCTAGGTTTCAATGCAATAAACTATCACCACTTTATCTAGATAGGAGTGTCCTAGAAAGTGTCCGGTAAACGGACCCTTTGGAATCCATTGCATAATGGAAGTCCTCATTATCACAAATTAGCTTTTTAGATCAGGATTTAGCCAAAAGATGTTTGGATCAGGATTTAGCATTAATCTATATGATTGAATCACAAAATATATTCTCAAACTTCAAGGAATCATATTATGGATGTTAAGTCAAGTGGATGAGAATATCGATTTGAGACTGAGGTCATCCTCAATCTCTACTTATTATCCATGCTCGATCCACAGCAAGCTTGATACACTTTTAAATAATTTGGTGTAGGTTTTCACGCATAACATATTTCAAAATAAGTAAACAAATGAATATGGGATGCAGCTGACATTTTTATCATATCAAACAGATAGAAATCTGTAGCAACGTATTCAAAAATAATTGTCTCAAGCTACCAGTTGAAGATAAGATAATTTGATATACCATATATTTTGTGATGACGATTTGAAAGATGATACTAAACCAATAAGAAAAGCACCTGATAAAAACCAACAGAGTTGAAACCCAGGCTTAAGTTCAATAATCCAATGGAGCACCCATTGAGTACGCCAAAGCCCATTACCGCCCTTGCATCAAAAGGCTTGTGCTCAAACAATTTCATCCATAGTGCCACATGAAGCGAACAAAATGTGACCAGTAGATGCCAGCTTGTCAAAGTAGTAGCTGCAAAACACAAATAGAAGGTGAGAATGCGCTCTTAAAACAAAATTAACAGATAAGGAAAAAAAACTATTTTGTATACATATTGACACATATCATCCAAAATTCCTATTCCGTGAAGTCATAAATCACAATAGAAACAACAAAATGTCTAATGATATTTTGCAGACTATCAGCGTGTATCAGAAATTTACTGTGATATCACAAGTTCTCTGGAGAGAAGTATTAGTAGACTGCTTATCTGAAAGCTAGGTTTATTTCTTGCAAAATGTTGGAGAGTCCATAAAATTTTGGCTGGATTTAGCAGTTAGATAAGGCCTGATAGGTATTATCTGATAGGATTATGGTCAAGAAGATTCAAATATCAAAGAGGAGTTACAGCTGCGACTACATATTTTTCCTTGAGTAGTTCTAATAACATCATTGACACTGTCCAAAATTCAAAATAGAAGATTGGGATTAGGTTAATAGCAGCGAGAATAAGTAACATGAGCCAATCACATGTCTTGGCAAGAAAGGGATAAATAGCGAGGAATGCTTTTTAGGCTGATATGAACAGCAGAGACAAATTGGTAACAATGAACATTCAAAAGGCAAACTTTCATCCAAAAGATTATCAAGTTAAATACATCTAACGAATCATCAATTACTTAATTAAAGGATTTAACGGAGCTTATTCAGACCTAGAAACAGACCACACTCCATATGCAGACAAATGAGTTTGGTTGTCAAATGTGATAAAGAAATAAAAATAACTCAACCATTTGAATTCACGTAAAAATGACTGGCTGCAAATGGTTTTCTAAGACAAAGTCAACTAGAACTTGTTATGGTGTTTTCAATCACCTAAGTGCAACCCTTTGCTAGCAACGGACGAGTGTGCTTTTGCATGCAATGCCCCAATCAAGTTGGCGGCCCGAGACCAACTGAGGCTCCAACTTAGTCGACTCGTCGAGTCGACGTTCCTTCATGTCAACTCGAAAGGCGGTACTAATTGACCCTCTTGTCGAAGACGACTCACAGCGAGCCCACTCGACCAGATATACGTCTCACGATGACGACTCGAAAGACGTTTGTTTGGTGGAAAATTTGTAGTAAAAGAAATGAAAGAAAATTGATTTGTATTCCTTTAATCTCAGTTACAATTGGATTTCCTGATTACAAAAGAAAAGAGAATGATCTGGATTCTCCCCTTTGTTTAATTCTGGGTTCTTCACGGTGGCGATGAGATGCCTCCCTCGAATGCTCGCGTCGAGTTTGCTTCTCGTTGACGATCCGACGTCTTGTTTCACTGGAACATGATCTTCTCCTCACGATTTGACGTTGTGGAGAACTTGCGTGGCAAGTTTGAAACTCTGGACGAGTTGATAACTCTGAATGAGTTGGAAACTCTTGAAAAATAGTTGATTTGAACCGAGAATCGGTTCTCAAGCCAAGGATGAAGAAGTTCTTGTTGCAGATCTCCCAGACTCCAGAAATGCTCTAAGGATCCTGTTGACGAGCCAAGAAGTTCCAACCGACCCCCCCCCTCAACTGAATTGATTTTCAATTATTTATAGGGGATTAAGGGGTGTAACCACCTCCTTAATTCGCTCCTAAGTGGGGCTAATGGGATGTAACCGCCCCTTAAATCACTCCTGAGTGGAGTTGTGATCCCCTCAAATCGTGGGAAACGGTTTTGAAACCGTTCAACTCGTGTTTGAACGAGTCAAACGCAGATCCTGCATTCTGGCATGAATTCCGTGTCCAAACGCAGTGTCTGAAAGCTTGAACGCAGTGATTGGAAGCTACGTTTGCAGCGGATGAAAGCTGCGTTTGGCAGCGATATAGAGCTGCGTTGGGCAGCGCTTGGAGCTGCGTTGAGCAGCGGTATAGAGCTGCGTTGGGCAGGGCGTTTGGAAGCTCATTTGCAGCGATTTAAGAGCTGCGTTTGGCAGCGGATCTGAGCTGCGTTTACAGCAATTTGAAAGCTGCGTTCTGCAGCGATATGGAGCTGCGTTCTTTGATGTTTGAAGGTGCGTTTCGTAGTGTTATGGAACTGCGTCTGGCGATGATTAAAGCTGCGTCTGGCAGCTGTATAGAGCCGCGTTGGGCAGCGATTGGAGCCGCGTTGGGCAGCGATTGGAGCTGCGTCTGGCAGCGATTGGAGCTGCGTCTGACAGCGGTATAGAGCCGCGTTAGGCAGCGATTGGAGCCGCGTTGGGCAGCGATTGGAGCTGCGTTGGACAGCGATTGGAGCTGCGTTCGTGGCCATGAACGTAGCGCATCTTGATGCTGGTACGCGGGGAGGACTTCCACGTCTTGATTGGAAGAGACCGTCGATTTGTAGTCTCTTTCTATCGAAGTTTTGCAAATATCATCATTTTGTAATCTTTACTTTAGCTCTTTGATATATGAGAGTCGTCAGATTGTAACTCCCGATGTTGATTATGAAGGCTGTTTGATTAGAGCTTCCATCAGTTGTCGTGAAGGTCGTCAGATTGTAACCTTTAGCGATCTACGTGAAAGTCTTCAAATTGTAACCTTCTGGAAGTCGTCAGAGTGTAACTTCCATCATCGGTGTTTTGATGGGGATCAGCTATCTATTGTGATTTTTAGACAGCCTACAACGTTACTTCTTGACGAAGTTAGAGGACGATTTTAGCTTCGAGTCTCTCCTACTAACAACGTGTCAGCGTCGCATTTAAGGCTTGGCAGGCGCCATCATACCTCTAGCGTTGATAGTCTTCATGACTAATCGGACCACGTCAGCACCGTCATGCCTTCGATTACTTCCCATTTAATGCTGAGGTGATCTCTCCTCCAGTCGTCAGTTGCCAGCCAACATATGTAAAACAAGTACTGACGCAGCTGTCAGCCCATGCTTCTTCACCGTCATCATGTGCTCGGCCACAATGACGATTTTACCCTTTCGGTATCACTATAAATACATGTACTATTCTAACATGAAAAAGGTTGACAAATCTGATCTTCTGGGAGAGATCTGCAAATGATACTGCACACACGAAAGAACACACAGTTTTTCACTTTACCCACTCAAGGTCACGAGCTGACTTGATCGTCGGAGGAACCACGGGGGAACTAGTCTCCGTCCTCTCACGTATTTCTATATGTGCAGACTTTTCAGCAACTCAACTCAGAACTGGATATTCGGGGAAGAAAGCGGCCCCTCATCAATCTCACCCCTATCCAACCACGGATATAATTGACGGATATAATTGACTGTATGATCATTTAACATCAATGGAACTGATTCCGTAGTATACTGTGTTACAAAACTGAAATAAACGACAGAATCCAACCAGAATGAAGTAGACAATGAATAGTCTAGGGATGCATCTAGTGAAACTGATGCCCTGATGCCTGCCTTGAAGATCATGGGAAATCATTTTGCACCAATTCAAGATGAAATGGAACTTGTAAGAAATACATTCGTTAAAACATATCGTAACATATATGACATGCAAACTATTATGAGATGCATCTTCCTTTTTAAGATGGAACTTTTTACTTTTTTAGTTAATTGAGCTATTGATCAGAAATACGATAACAAATATTGGATGAATCTAGACGAATTTAGTGAAGTTGCTTCAATTAAGATACAAAAACTGCGTCTCTTGGTTATCCATTCTCTCCTCCAACATATCCTCTTTCCTATTTCAAATCTATCATTTAGATACAGAAACTTGGGGAAAACATAAAACCATCCAGTCACACTCATACAAAACATATAACCACAACACAAGTACCAGCATGCAAACACACGCCTTGCACTTTTGAGAAGTCATAAGCTATAATTGTTAACCCAGGCTCGTAAAGCTGCCACAGATACTCTGGTTTATACCAGAATTGCCGAAATCATTGGAGGTAAATGGAATATCCGTTAAAGCTATGACACCTATTTTCCACATAAAATCTCTAGAATGAGTTTCCCCAAATTCTTGACCTTCTCAAACTAATCCTTATGATGACAGGATTATCCACTTAGACTGTGTAATTAAAGCACCTCCAAGGATAATACATTGACAGCCTCACAAAAGGTATAAAACATTTACCCAGTTCAAAGAAAGTTCGAAAAATTTCACAATCAGTTGAAGTATAGAAATTCCCAGTCTAAACTTTTGAAACCTGATCATTCCTTCTTTACTTCTGTTAGTAATATGTTCAAACTGTCTCAACATCAACATTTATAAATTTTAATTCATCTAAATCTCTACAAACCCACTAACATGATCCGTGAATCAACAGAACATTTATAAATTTTAATTCATCTAAATCTCTACAAACCCACTAACATGATCCGTGAATCAACAGATTCATAGAATATGGCATCAGGAATCTCTACAAACCCACTAACATGATCCGTGAATCAACAGATTCATAGAATATGGCATCAGGAATGACATCTCTAGTCTAGAACTAAGTCATACCATTTTCAATTATGCCAAGTGATCGACCCAACAGATTCTATCCTTGCATGTGTAATTCACAAGAAAATTTCTTCCGCAATAATTATGTAAAAAAATCCAAAGTAAGCCCCTTGAAGATCTCTAGCAAATTTTATTCCAGAAAGAGATATCCTCGACATTCATAATGATAATTATAGTTTCAAAATTATTCTTCTCGTCAACCATCTTATGATAAAGTCATATCCAAGTTCACAAATTCCCCTGCAGCTTCAAAGTGAAAACCCACATACATATGCTAACATCTGGCATGTTCATTTTCTCCCAAATGAAAACTGACGTGCACAATAATTTGAGCTCTACAGAAGGAAAGTCAGTAATTGAAGTATTTTGAAATGGCTACAAGCAATTCTCCAAAAAAAGATGCTACAGGACAAAAGACAATAGGAACAAAAAGCTTAAATTCACATAACAAACTTCAACTTAAATTTTTACGCATTTAAAAGCATAATTCACCATTAACACTACAATCACTCAAGAATTGTCTACATCCTACTGGACAAAAACAAGAATTGTCTAAATTAACACTACAATCACTCAAGAATTGTCTACATCCTACTGGACAAAAACAAGAGCAACAAATCTCCAAATTTTGATCCTTTTGATACAGAAAGAGACATTCTACTCAAAGCAACACAACAAACAAATTCATTTTAATTACATAATTATTTGTGACTCCAGATTCTTAATTCGATCTAATTACTTCGAAATTTCAACAAAAAAATGCAATCTACTCCTAAAATTAGTCAAACGGAAAAGGAATCACAGATCTCTCACCAAAAGTGAATCCAAGCGAGCTCATGAGTGCCTTATTACAGATCACGATCGAGACCGATGAAACCACCGACAAGCTCAAGGCACCAACGGTCCCCAGCTGGAACCTATCGCCTTCGCCCATTCTCGATCGCTAAATCAACGCTACAAACAAAATATAGCACTAAAACATCCAAACGCAAGATCTCAGAGCTCCAATCGAGCTCATTCTCCGAAACCTAGCGAGATCGAGATCTCAGAGACTGAACTGGAACCGAAACCCTAGATCTGAGATCGGGATCTGAATTTGACCTCAATCTTTCTCGAATTTGAGAAAACCTAGGCAAACAGAGAGCAACAGTAAAAAGAGATCTGTGAGGTTCTTGATTTCTAGACTCTTTTTATTGGAGCTTTTTTCTTTTTAAAAAAGAAAGGCTGCGATCTTTTTCTCTCCCTCTTATCACTCGGCGCGAAAGACGGGGTTTTAATAAGTGATGATGATCGAGTTTTTAACAAATAAGAGAAAATTAGAAAATAAATAAATAAATTAGGTGATGGATAGAAATAAGGACACGAAAATATGACCATGAAATTGACTGCATAATTGTATGGGATAGTTCACCACAGGGGTGCGTTTTTGGGTGTCGCTCGAGCTGAAACGAAGTTCGTCAGCCGTTGGTTTGACGCAAAGCTAGCGAGGTACCGGATTTAATGTCACGTAGAAAACACGTGATTTAATGTGTAGGAAGGGGGCAGCTTTCGGATTGTGAAGGGAATTTGGTTGATTATCCTACTCGAAGTTAGTAAAAACAAGGGGGCAAGTGTTTTTTGTATTTTTTTAAAAACAATGATAGTAACATTTCTTCCATTTCGAGGGAGCATTAAAATGGTAAATTTTGATTTATCATCAGACTATTTAATCTTGGTTTACTAATAATGAGATTCACGGAAATGTAAGCAATTTTCTTATATAGCAAATTTGTTGCCGTGTCGGCATATTGATATACTATATCTTAATTAATATTATTTTATAGCAACTTATTGGTGTTTTGTGATGACTCTGCTATTTTCTATTGAGTTTGAATTTAATGATAAATTAGATTAAGGTGAGGTCTATGTGATTGAAATCTATCTACCTACCCTTTAAAAGAGGGAGTTCATGAAAAACTTTTCCTACCCCAAATTACCCTTCAACCAATGTAAATATACCAAAGTTATCCCTTATAATCGTTACAGAGAATTTATCATCCTCAGAAATCAAAAGCCCTAAACTTACTGTCGGTTACGCCTTCCCTCCAGCATCCGGTTCATCGGTTACACTTCTCCTCAGCCAACGTTGTCCCACGATGTTAAGTCAACGTTATCCCACGATCTTAAGTCATCAAATGCCAAAGATGAGTATTATTGTCTGTATCATCAACTTACCGCCTCTGTCATCATCTCCTTAGTTCTCAGATTTTTGGCATCGGTTAGTATCACGAAGGTTTCTTCGTCTTCTTCACTCCGCTACACAAAATCCTAGCTCTAATTGTTAGTTCTGCTCAATTCATCCTATCCTCTTTTTGTTCTTCATTCCTCTCCTTTTGGTCCGTTTGTTCTAATTTGATTCCTGCGCTCAACATGATTTTGATAGAGAAGATCGTGCCCCCTTCAAAGACCTCAGATGGGATCTTGCTTCCCGAGAAAACCGACAAGGTACCATCTTGATTTCTTTTCCCATTTAATTCCGTGCCTTTTTTCAAAATTTGCCGTTTTCCCTCAATTTTGTTGATGAGTCTTGCTCCAAAATCGAAACTTTGACATGGGTCACTCTGGTTGTATTTATTGTTTTTGAACCTTTGGCGAGAATTTGTTTGCTTATTGGGTAAAGGAATAATTTTTTTAGGTTTATTAAGGTACACTACGTCCGTTGCAACTGGTAATTGCAAAAAAAAAATTTAATTTTACTTTTAAATTAATCTGTTATTTGTTGGGGGTTTACTTTCAACTGCCTTAGGATTTTGGTGAACGCAACGGGACAATTTGTAATTTTTTTTTAGAAAAATGCGATGGTGATATTGTAGGTTTCTGATTCTTGTAGTCAGAATAAAGCGATTGTATGTTTACTAATTTTATATTGTTGCCAAAATGTTGAGAGCATTAGTTTAATCTTAATTTTGATGTGGAAACTGATTGAGAAATTGGTAAGCGATCACTAGGGATGTTAAATGGGTGGGTTTGGGTGTTAAATGGGCGGGCCATAAATGGGTGGGCATGTTTTGCCCATTTACCCATTTATGGCCCATTTAACATTTTCTAAATGGGCGGGTTTTTGCCCGCCCATTTAATAAATGGGCCGCCCATTTGCCCATTTAATTATAATAGCTATATATGTATAATTTTTTAGGATGATTTTTGTAAACTTTTAGGGGTTTTTTTAAACTATTGGGGGCTTTTTGCAAAATAGCATGAACATATTGAACAATATAGCATTAAAATTACCAATCATGTATTTTTTTTTTACTATACCAAGCGCAAAGAACTCAAAGAATACATCACTTGCAAAATGATATACATTGCTTATTGCGATAATCAATGTCACAAGAAGCCACTTATGCCACATCAAAAAGAAATTCAAATAGAGCACAACTTTTTCGAACGTACAAACCTGTCCTATGAATAATCATCACAACTCGCCTTAAAATACCACAATAACCCCACGAGTGGACTTCAGAGAGAGAAAGAGTATCAATGTAACTTGAGGAGAGCTCATCAGTTTTAAATTCTCGATTCGATAATTTTCAATAATGATGGGGTAAAAATGTCAGTTACTTCACGTAGGAAAAACAAGTTCGGAACAATCATGTTGTTCTAACATTACAGAAAGGAAAAATAAAGTGTATGAAAAAGCTCAGAAGACCATATACAATGAATTTTCATCTCTCACATGATATCAGCAAAAACAATGGGAACAAAATTCTACTTGGTAGACTGTGTAATCATATTGCTTATGGAACTAGCTTGCTCTTTGGCAGTCTCCACCAGTGAATCCTGCATGCAGAAACACAGTTAAGATACTTACACAGTTAAATACTTTTGCTAACATACGAAAGTTCAAAACACTCTCCAACATTAGAAATGTAGAATTCCACCTATTGGACACATCTTGCTGAATTTTTTTCGCTTTACCTGAATAAGTTTGTGCAATGCACTCTGCAAACTTCTTTTTTCGCTTTACCTGGATTTACAAGGGTGGTTTTCTGCAACCAATCATATTTTCACAGGAACAACTCAAGTAGATATCCAAACAAATACAAATGAGAAGGGCAATCTGAATGAGAGACTCTACCTCATCCTCTATATAATTGCTTTGTAGTTCAGGATCAATCAAAGTCTCAAGCTTTTTCTCTTTCAGAAGACCTTTAACCTTATGAGGACAAATATAGGATGGCAGAAGTTAAATTCCAGAACTACTGTAGAGATCCTCAACTTGTAGAAACTATTACTTTTAATTAATAATAAAAATAATTTCCATTTGATGCCATTAAGGAATCTATGTCATACCAATACCATTTATCTTTTTTTGCTTATACACCATTGTAAAAGGGATTACATTCTAATTTAGCACGTGGCTAAATCCTTCCTAGCCATTTGAACTAATAAAGGGGGAGAAGTTCACAGTAAATGCAATGTTCACATGACATCAACTATTTGCCCATCATTGGCAACAAACTCAGCACAATCATTGACTCTAAACCATCGCAGAAAGGAAAGCATATGTTCACATTCTCGGAGCAGTGGTCCATAATCAAGGAGATTGCCTTTCGAAGTTGAAGGATGGTGCAAAAGGAGTTGCAGCAATAACTGTGAACTCTGTACACTGGAACATCGAAAAAAAACACTTCAAAAAATAAAGAGTGTTAATAGATAAATGAACACGGTTGAACATTATAGCTCAAAGAAAAAAAACACTTCAAAAAATAAAGAGTGTTAATAGATAAATGAACACGGTTGAACATTATAGCTCAAAGTAACTTAATAAAACATGGGAAGTCAGCATCCATTTATACGGTATTTACATAAAAAATCAAAAATTGACGAAAACAACAGCATAGGAATTAGATATATGGCAACAAATGGATGTATCTAGAGTTAGGTTTAGTATAGAATTTCTCTAGAAAGTTTCACGTGTCATGAAAACATCAATATTCTAGGTGATGAGCGTGAGCTTTGTATAATCAAGTCTCAACTAATTCAAAATAAAGCATCTCTTCAAGCTAGCCTCTTCCTTACTAATTAAGTTAGCATTTCCCGTTCTACTTCCTCCGTTCTCAATCCTCCAATACTAAAACCAATTACCCACCTAGTTTCCGCAACCCCAACATCTATGACACTTGTTAGTAGCTAAATGATATCTGCATCAACTCATGAATGTACAAGTAAAATTATTTCAAATTTGAAGAATGATTTTCTTTCTGTAATACCTCATTCTTTATGCAATCTTGACCAATTTATTTGAAACGTCAAATAATGCTCTCAGCTTGGGAACATCATAGCGAAATTAATACACACTTCGAACTCTTTTACTGAACCCAATTTCAATTCGTTCAGATGAAAAATGAGCTCTATAATACCTCAAAGCCTCAAAGCCAGTCCATCGTAAGTCTATGGTGTAAAGAGAGAGAGAGAGAGAGAAGGAGAGAGAGCTGTCTGCGTCCCAATACAACTACAGTCCTATCAGAATCTCTCAGCAATTACTTGTTTGTTCAACTGTGTTATATATATTGTATCAAATTTGTGATGGCAGATTCCTTTGACAACAACCATGAACCATGCTCTTAACAGTTTTTGAATCTCAGTGTTAGCTTTAGATGAATAACACAGTTGAACAAACAAGTAATTGCATAATATAGCATGCTTAAACATAAAAGCAATGTAAATATGTGAATTATCTCTTAGACAAATGTTAGGGAATATAGAACTGATATATGGTTCACGTGACAACAAAGATATTAAAGTCTTTACCTTGGCAAGACTTGCAACAAGATTCAGCGTCCTCATTCCGTTGTACTCAAAGAGGACAGGAAGCTGCAAGTGTGAAGAAGGAAAAAGATCTATATCCAATTTTGAGGCAATAAAAATCAGTAAAGCACATGTAGAACCAAATTATATGAGGTTAAGCAGGAAATTGAAGGACTCTTGCATTACACCATGTCTCAATAGTTTACTATGCATATATTCAGTTTCACATACTGTCTTGTTTAATGAAGCCAAATGCAATAGTATCTTAACCTAGAAATGGAGCATTTGCTAAGCTCATAAAAAACAATCTTTTTTGAATAATTTCAAATAGGTTTTATATAACAAAAGAAAATTTGTTTCATAAGAAAATGAAACTAACTTTATGACTTTGAATTCAAGAGAAGGGGATATACCTGATTGTGAGCTGGAGAAGTTGCAATTTTCGTCCTCTTTCGACCAAGTTTTGGGAAATCTCGATCAACTGCAAAAATTAGGGGATTTAGGTTAAATTTAAAAAATTTGGACCATGGAATGAAACATTAATAAAGTTGATCTCAGCTAGGGTTCTGTTTGATTAAAGTACTCCTTTTTCCTTCATTTTCTCCTCTTCCTTCTCCAATTTCACACTTTAAACTTAAAAAATATATGTAAATTACACGGATTTCACTAGATTCAATAGAATTTTAATGTTTGATCTCAAAATGAAGCATAAACCTGAGCAGATCAGAGAAGCCTCAACAAAGTCTAAAAAATAGGGTTTTGTCTTGATGTCGATGACGGAGCTTGCCGGCGATGGAGGAGCTTACAAGTGGGAGGGGGCGGAGCTTGCCGGTGATGGCGCGGGCGCGGGCGGCTCCGGCGAGGTCACCGCGGGAATCGCGGGTTTAAGACGAGAGAGAGGGAACGAGAGAAAGAATGAGAGATGAGAGAACGACTGAGTACAAAAGGGAGAGAACGGGTGTTCACTCGGGCGGGTTCAAGGCGGGCGCGATGACCGCCCATTAAGTGCCCTCTTATCTTCTTTTGAATGGATACCCGCCCATTTAGACCCATTTAACTAAATGGGTGGGTTATGGGCGGACTGAATGGTGGGCGGGCTGGGCGGGCAATTGGGCATGGGTCATAATTGCCATGTCTAGCGATCACCCAACACCAAAAAGGCGATTATGCGTGGATGAAGAGTTGCTTACTGTGTGTATCCTCATGACTCTTTGTTCTTCATGAGCATTTTGCATTGTTTATGTTGGTGTTTAAGGAAATGCAATCATTGGTTGTGAGACGTTCTTTTAATTATTTTTTCGGGTAAAATTTTGTGTGTTTGGATGTTTGAACTGGGATAAGTTTTTATTAGTAAATAGATCTGGAAGCCTGAAACTTGATGGCAGTTCTACACCGAATGAGTGTGCAGTATGAATAAATATATTATATCGATGGTGGCAGTGGTTCATGAACTCAAACATTGTCTTTACAATATAACATATCAAATGATTGAAAACTTAAAAGAGATATTTGTAGTTTGTACTCTATATCACCATTGGTGATACCTGATGGTGATTTAAAGAAACAGGTATAAACTGAATACGTTGAATTTATGTTGAAGCATAATTTGGTTTAACCAACGCGATTGTTTTGGCTTACTAGTAAGATTCTTCTTCAGTTTCTCTTCTATGGTTTGAAACTGGGTTTACTTTATATATCAATTAGGTAACACTCTTTGTTCATATTTTGTTTTAACGTATATACTGGTTGTATGTTGAAGTTGCATGCAGAATTTTGTGATCATCAGATCATGCTTGACTATACTCATCTGGATTGGACAAAAAACCTTTCTTAAATTTGATCAAAACAAGTGTAGATGGTCTTTTACAACTCAAGGGCTTTTATAATTAGTTATGTGCATGGTAAACCTTGTTCTTCTTAGCAAAGAAATGTCCAGTATTATAACTAGCTCACAATCTTTCAATAACATAGGTCTTAGGTCATTTTAAGTTAGACAGTGAATGCTAGCATTCAGTTAGAGTGACATTGGATTTACCAAAAATCAGACTGTTGTCATTAGACTGTGAATGCCATCATCTCCTCAGTTCTCAGATTTTTGACATCGGTTAGGATCACGAAGGTTTCTTCGTCTTCTTCACTCTGCTACATAAAACTTTAAATTTTGATTTTGATTTTGATTTTCTGGTATGTCTTGATCAATTTATAAATTTTGATTTTGATTTTGTTAATATGTATAGAGTTTAGGGGATTCGGGATGTGAAAATATCTTTAAGTGTCGGAGATTTTCACTTGCTTCTTGCACTCTAGATATTGGAATTAACTTGTATATGAGAAATGTGATTTTTCATCAACTCATGAACATAGAAAAACTAACAGTTTATTATACTGTTTAATGCTTGAAGAATATTACAGTAGGCTTTGTTTATGATCTCTTTATTTCTTAAGGGAGAGACATGTTTTTTTTAATTTTTTATACTGAACTGGATGAGAATGAAATAGTTTCATGCGGTGAATGTTCCTACTTTTTGTTCCTACTTTTTGCTGTTAGAAAACATGATTTTTCTCCTCCATTGCTGTTTTTGTATTATATTGGAGGATATATATTGAATTATGAAGAAAAAAGCTAGAATAGAAAAACTTAGGATAGTGATGCTTTAAGAAGAGAAGAGGAAGAAGTATTATTAGGACTAATAGAAGAGGCTATAAAGCGCTAAGTTAGAATTTTTCATTTAATTTTTATTTTTGATAGATGTGAAAAATGTCCACAATGATTGAAATTAACCTCAAAGCCTCATGCTCTACTATCTCCTTCTTTTTCTCTTTAAGGTGTTAAATATCAATTGACACCTCAATTTCTAACATTTCTCAGAATTTTCTTTTTCTTTACTGAAAATTTTCCTTTCCCGTTATGGCATGATTACAAATATATAGTTGTTTTATTACTTTTAAATTGTGGGATATCATAGTTGTCTCACAAGTCAAAACCCCAATTTATGACTGTCAACTCCGGGATAACTGTCTTTGTTTCTTTGCATTTCATTACACAATCGATTTGAATATATATTGGAGCTAGGCAAGGGAACCTCTCCCTCTTTCTGTGATTAAAGTAATCTCTAGAGTCCTTAATAAAAGATTAACCATGTATTCTATTGATTCCCAATCTTACATCAGTTTCTTTCTTGTGATAAACTTGTTAGACCCTAGAGAGGATGTGATTAGGGTCTTATACTAATCTAATCTGATTT